CTTCAATTTAGGCACATCTTGAACACCAAAGCAGTCACCATTGGCGACCACCCGTAGCGGATTGAACAGTGTCAATTGTGTGTGAAATCTGATACTCATGTGACATCTGTGCAATGATGGGATGTGACATCTGCGCAGCTCTGTGTGACATCCGTGAAATATTGTGTGAAACTTCTCCACAGCCGTGAAGCCGGCTGCCGGCCATTCGGTCACTCTGAAATTACCACATCGGCTGGCTTGAACCGGCGCACAAGAAAGGCATGGCATCATCAACCGGCGGCAAACCGAAAAAACGGGCACACATCCTTCGTTCCGGGAACGCCGGGAACTCATCCAAATCAGCCGCTCCCACTCCACCGCCGGAACCAGACAATGGTCGACCACCACCTCTGTTTCCACCGGGTTCAAAAACCCCAGTCCAACTTCTCCATGAGCGATGTCGACATAACAAATGGGAGAAACCTTCGATCGATATTGTTTGTTGATTATTTCTTCCTTGGATTTGCGCCTGTGACTTGAAGTCGATGATTTTGGCTGACTTGAAATGAAGAACTTGTTGCCACTAGAGACGGTTCTCTGAGGGTTTTACAGCTGTGGTCACCCTGGTAAAGACAGACAAGAAGGATGCATCACTCAGACACACCGTTCGAATGGAGCCTCGTCCACCTCTGAACCGAAAGACCGGGGAGGAAGCGAAGCATTGGGCTGCAACTTATGCGCTATTCAGAGTGAGTAATTCCTTGTTCAGAGATAATAATACGATTTTCGCCATCGCACGCCGCTCCCACACCACGGCCTATCTTCCCTAGTCTTCATATTTAATGTCTCGTTTGGACAGCCTGCTTGATGTTGATGTAAACCATTTTTCATTTCAGTTTTGCAATAACATGCCTTTACACCGCGTGCTCCCACCAGGTCCCAAGGATTATTGGGCAACTCTTGAACAAGAGAAGAAGAGTGCTCCCGCTCATCGAGATTGGGAGTTTGATCCAGATCCCTTCCAGGCCGCAGTTGAAGTGAAAAAGCGGCAGCAGACACGAGAGCAGAAGATTGAACAATCTAACAATAATCAAGCGGGCGGAACTCAAGGCGAAGAGAAGAAACCACTCCCTAAGTGTTGGTCACTAGCACCTGAGGTCAAGATGGACCATGCCTTGCGAGATCAAATCGAGCAAATCATTAGAGGCCTCCTTACTCGCATCCACATACCCGAGTCGGAGCCAACATCTCAGAACGGACAGCCAGATATTCAATATACTTCGCGACTGTCTTCGCTCGAAAGTCAAAAACTTTCCGACGAATTAATCAAGATGGGATTCCGACCTGGACACGTCTCCTCAGCTCTAGATCATCTATCCAAGATTCACAATGCCTCAGGATCAGCTTCCCAAAACAAAACCTCCCAGTTAGCCCGCACTCTTCTGAAAAGCTTTCAAGGATCCAGTGATCGTGATGCGTTGCTTCAATATTTGACTGTCGTAGTCCCCGAAGATGACCTTCCTATCCGATTCCGACCCACAGAAAAATCCGCATCATTTGTAACTGCCATGTCAAGTGGTGCGGGAAGGGGACCCCACGGGCAAAATTTAGAAATAAAATGGATGGTTGAGCGACTGAATAGACTCCATGGGTTTCCGTTAGAAGCTATTTCAACTACGCTCAATGGTCCAGTGGGAGCTCAGGAAAGTGTGGCGTTGGAAACTCTGGCACGCCGGCTAGCAGGTTGGGATGCTGATAGTCCGTTGAAACACGCCGATATCGCAAGCCAAGAAACTCCTGAAGTCAAGGAGATCCTTCGATCAAGGGACCAGAAACGTGCGATAGAAAAAGAAGCCCTAGAATCTATTTATGGTGGTGATCGATATCGAACAGTGTCTGAAGCACCAGGAACTGACTTTGAAATCTTGATACTATCATCTCAATCTCAGGCAAAAGAAGATTTGTGGCTTCGGATTATATTTCACCCACAATCGTTGTACCCCACCGCCACGTCTTTGATATCGAAAGCATGTATACCGACGTTTTCCATCGTCTCATCCACTGTCCCCTCATACTTGAGGCTTGCTCTCATGAAGAAAACTCTCGAACAATTTGGTGATCCAACAAGCGGATGGTCTTCGATGCTGGATGAAGGTGAAGGAGGCGTGATATTTGAGATGGTTAGCTACCTTGAAGAAACGTGGTCTCTGCTGGCCAAAGAACCGCCAGACGTTGCCGATGTTATGTATAATTTCGTTGTGGAGAAGCAATTGCCTCAATCACCATCTACACCCCCAATCGTGGCACGGAACAACTCTCGTGGCACTCCGAAGCAGCAAACAAAAGCACTCACATTAACGCGGATACCTGAAACAGATCAACGGCTAATGAAAGAGCAGTGCGCCTTAATCGCAAACCCCGCCTATGCGACCGTTTCCAAAGACCGCCAAGGTCTCCCTGCTTGGTCAAGTCGCTCGGAGTTCCTGGAGGCCCTGTCAGATCCTGCTGTTCGCGTCGTGGTCGTTGCAGGCGAGACCGGTAGCGGAAAAACTACCCAGCTGCCTCAATTTATTCTAGAGTCCGAATTTGAGGCGGGACGTGGTAGCGCAGTCAACATTATTTGTACCCAACCACGTCGAGTGAGTGCAATTGGGGTCGCGACACGTGTTGCTAGTGAAAGACTTGAGAACATTGACGATAAAGACGGTGTTGTTGGGTATGTGATCCGAGGCGAGAAAAGAAGTGGCCGTCATACGAGTAAGTTACTCATATCTTGTCTGCATCAAGCCTTTATGTTAAAGACCAACATATTGATTGTATTCAATGTTGAATAGGACTATTGTTTGCAACAAGTGGTGTACTTCTCAGGCGCTTAGCTACAAGTGATCCCGACCTTTTAGGCATTTCACATCTATTTGTAGATGAGGTACACGCACTTCTCAATCCTCTGCTCTGTGAAAGACCGCACTGACACAGATACTTTCCGTTTTTGCTCCCTGCCTAAATTCTTTTACAATTCTTGAATGTCATTCTGCCGCCCGTATCCAGGTTCACGAGAGGAGCATGGAGGGCGACTTGCTTTTGCTTGAGCTACGAGACATTCTGAAAAGAAATACAAAGATTAAGATCGTACTAATGTCAGCAACTGTAAGGAAGCGTCTGTCATTACAACACATGGCTCACTCTCGCGACTGAAATCACATTTCTGTTTAACAGGCAAACCAAGATTTGTTTGTCAAATACTTCGGAACAGCCACAAGGATCAACATTCCTGGAATGACTTACCGTAAGCTTATTGATGTTTGATATTCTCAGCTGTCCTAATGATGTACATTTGTTGTTTATGATCACAGCGGTAAAGGACTTTTACTTGGAAGACTATTTAAAACGGCTTAAATATACCCCAGCCAATGCTAAATCACGACCCGATCGCGATGCAGCGCAGAGGAAGCAAACTGAGGCGCTCTGTAAAGGATTCATGGCGATGGGCTACAACGAAACCGAAAGCCGGTATCTCGGCTCAGCTTCCAAAGCGGCTCGCACCATTGACGAACAATTGATCGCGTCCATTGTTATGGATATCCTGAATAGCGACCCTTCTCAGCAGAGCAGTGGAAACTTTGGCGTGGTCTTAGTTTTTGTTTCAGGAGTTGCCGAAATTTGCGCTGCAATCAAAGCTATCGAGAATCTTTGCAGAAAGCGGGTTGAATGTCTTCCCTTACACAGTCAGCTATCGAGCGCTGAGCAGAAAAGGGTCTTCCGCCCAGTCCATTCTTCGCGAATGAAAGTAGTTGTGGCGACTAACATTGCCGAAACGTCTATAACAATACCCGACGTGCGCTACGTGATTGATAGGTATTTTCCAATATTCAAAATCTCGGATGTTCTCTCCTTAACAATCCTGACACCATGTTGAATTTCCCCGGGTGCTTGTAGTGGTCGAGAAAAGCAAATGGAACTCGACCAGGAGGTTGGGATGACACGATTGGTTGAAGTCAATTGTTCGCAAGCGGCCGCCAAACAAAGACGTGGTCGAGCTGGTAGAACGACGTGGGTAGTCTGGCTACAAATTTCAACATCATGGCACCGATTTCTGACTGAAATTGTTTTGTTTTCTTTTTTTTTTTTAAAAAAAAAATCATAGCGCTGGGGTTGCGTATAAGCTTTTTACCAGAATTTGTGAACGCGAAACAATGTTAGTTGATACGAAGCCTGAAATCTTGCGCACTCCATTGGAGGCTCTGTTCCTCCAAGTCAAAGCAATCAGAGAGAAAGAGGATGTACCGGTAAGTATTCACATATTGATGGTAATGGTACTACTGATTAATGAGATGTGTCAACGTTTTGGTCAGATAGACTTATTTACAAAAAGCGCTCACTCCGCCACTTCAAAGTGCTGTAGACCGGGCCATTGAGAATCTAGAAGTTGTCGGGGCATTCTATGATGGCTCATTGACGGCATTGGGAAAGCATCTTGCCCAACTACCGCTCGACCTTCGTCTCGGCAAACTTCTGATTCTGGGTGCAATATTTAAGGTTTTTGAACCAACGTTAACATTGGCGTAAGTGTCGAGTACTTGCATGAATCAATTTCGAACGAGACGCTAACACTCATCGATTCATGGCAGCGCTATGCTTTCGGTCAACAAGGTACCCCATTCTAATCTGTAACATAACATCTCAACTCATTGCTGACCACAAGTAAATCTTGTAGCCACTTGTCATCAGTTCCTTTGAAAAACGAGAAGAAAGTAGCCTGGCAAGACTGAAGTTTAAGGTGGCCAACAGCGATTTGCTGACCAACATCAATGCTTTTGATGAGTTTATCCGTATCCAACGTGAATCCGGCAGTGGCAGCGCGCGGGAATTTTGTGAAGTCAGTCCAACATACTCGTTTGATCTGCCATTGTTGCTTACCATTCATGCTGTCCAGGATACTAACATCCTTTTTGCGTATATTCCAGAGAAACTTTTTATCTATGTCAACGATTCGAGACATAATCTCAACTCGCTCAGATTTGCTCTCACAAATGCAGGAACGAGGATTTGTTCCCAAATCATATGGAAAGAATAGCATGCACAGAATAGCTCTCGTGACTTCAAACAGTGGCGATGGTGCCGAGGAACTCAATTTGAACAAGAATAGTGACAAGTTGAATTTGGTCAAAGCAGTCTTTGCGGCTGGATTGAGTCAAGTGGTTCGGATCGAAGTCCCACAAACCAAATATGATCAGATTGCTAGCGGAACCATAGAGAAAGATGTGGACTCGAAGGCTGTCAAGTTTTACGATCCAAAAATTGGTACGCACACCTTCCACATAGAAAACTAGATCGATCCGATCGACATACTCATTCCTATTTTGCCGTACATTGCACAACGAATTGTAGGACGCGTATTCCTACATCCATCTTCGATCTTGTTCAAGTCCGCTCAAGATTTGAAAGCTGCATTCTTAGCTTATTTTTCGCGATCAGCTAGTGGTTCAGATGCCAACTCCAAAGTCTTTTTACGTGATGGAACCACGGTGAGTTGACTCTAAACCAATGCTCTAAATTCGGCCAAGTCTTCTATTACCGACACGTTAGGATATGGGTTTCGTTTGCACATTCCAATCTGACATGCACATTATTTCTCTGATTGACTAGGTTCCTCTCTTTGGGATGTTACTATTGTTTGGCTCCGGCTCGATCAAACTAAACCACGAGCGTGGGGGGCTATCGATCCAAACGAGATCGATGGAAGATGGCCGAGAGACGAACGAGAACACAATCAAACTCCGGGCACCGATGCGGATTGGCACCTTATGCAACCAATTGAGACATCTCTTGGATACACTTCTGCTCATCGTCGTCGATCAACCTCAAAAACTCTCCAATAATTGGGATAACGATCTCGATGCGCAACAAGTCATTGAATGTGTTGTCAACTTAATTCAGTCTGATGGATCTGGCTCTGTCATATGACAAATCCGTCCCTGCAATTTTCCGATTCTCTTGAAGATGGTGCTATAGATTTCCTCCTTTCGCCGTAAAACATGAGATTCAGGGCGCCCGTGTGTTTATCGTCTTCCAATCTTTGGGCCTATCTATTTGGCTTAGCCTATTCTCAAGCTCATGACTTTGGAAATCTACGCTTGATTGTTCCATTATTTTGGATCAAACTGTTCAAAGAGAAACCTCCAGTGATTCTCCTGGGACAATTTTTTCTTAGCATGCTTTGTATTAATTCAATTAGAATATTAGTTTTGAATACGGTTGCTAAGATGTTGTTTTTTTTTATATAAGTGGGTTTGCTTAGATCTAATGCTTTGATACAAGCACTGCTCCTGCAAAAGAGTCCAATTTGCAACAGAGGGCAGCATTTTTATGGTCTATCCAAGGTGCTGATGCCCTCTGCCACGTGAGGTCAAATCTCCTCACAGTACTTCTCAGTCTTACCATGCCCAAAATCATTGTTTTTGGATAGGTTATATGTCTGAGCTGGGGTTCCCTCTTTAAGGCTTTGCTTGATGGGCCTGGTTGATTGAGTGTTTCCGGTAGCAGCCTGTATGGGCCTGGGCCACTCCCTGTCGGCGGCGTCGGACTTGGACTCCTCGATCCTGCCGCTTTCTTTGTCATCAGCTCTGTTGGAATCACCACCTCCTATGGTAACAATCCCCGTCCTGTCCTTGATGGTGTGTCCAGCAATGAACTCTATTCCTGTTGCTCATATTCCTTCTTCAGTTGACCCAGGATATACACCGGAGCTGGAATATTGAGCCCCAAAAAATCCACCAAAAAAAACATCAGAATTCAAACCTTGGGTGAATACGAGTGATCCTTTACCTTTGATCAGACTGTAGATCCCTTTTGTGAATGTTGAGCGAGTACTGCTAGTTGATGAAAAAGGAGATTGGATTGGATCAGACTGACCAAGAGGATTTGATTGAATTGTTGGTGGTGGTGATACTATTGCTTGAGGGTGTTTGCACAGGTGCTGGCTACCATAAGAAGCACTATAGTGGCCAACTGGGTGGGCCTTGAAGTTTTTTGTTTCCAAAGCACCATTCAAGATGCTAGCTGGGATTGGGTTCTTGGCTACTAAGCCAATCACCACTCCCAAGATCCATTTGCTTATCTGGCATCACTATGCTCATCTTGTATCCATCTCCTATCCATCAACTTGGTCATATTCTATCTGTACAGTGGGTGGACCGTTATTTTTGGCTGCTTGTTTTGGGTTCTACAGCTTCAAAGCACAAAATCCAAGTCACGAGACTTGGTGAATTGGTGCAGAATAGGTCCCAAAGAATGAATATGAAAAAATAAAAACAAAAAATAAAGTTTCAAAATTTGAGAAAAACAAAAAATAAACATGTTTTTTTCCAAAATCTTTGTTATTGATTTTGGGGGAGTGGGAGTGCTGAGAGAAAGAAAGAGTGGAACATGGGAAGAATGATTATAAATGAAAAAAATTGGAACCAAAAAAGGTTTGGCCAGGTTGGTTGTCCAGATTGGAGCCAAAACAGTAAATTCTAGTGCTTGACTGCAATGTGGGCTGGTGACTGCCCCAATCAACAGCTCTTTGAAGCCATCTGGAAAGCAATTTTTCCAAAATTTTCATTTATAATCATTCTTCTAATATCCCAATCTTCCTTTCTCTCAGCACTCTCAATCCCCCAAAATGAATTTTAAAGCTTTTGAGAAAAATAAATTTTATTTTTTATTTTTCACAAATTTTGAAACTTTGTTTTTTGTTTTTATTTTTTCATATTCATTCTTTGGGACCTATTCTGCACCACTTCACCAATTCTTGTGACTTCAATTTTGTGCTTTGAAGCTCTGGAATCCAAAACAAGCAGCCAAAAATAACGGTCCACCCACTGTACAGTTCATATTCTCACATGGCAAATAGCAGCCAACCTCACCTGGTGGTAAGGACAACCTGGGGGGTGATTCTTTTCACCGCAGTTACAGACATTACTGGATAATAATCCAGTGAGCATCTCTTCCTTTATTGTCCCTCCATTTTTTCAATATAACTCTGAAGGTTTCCAATATCATTTCTTAGATAAATTACCCAGAATCACCAAGGATCACCTCAAACAGTCGGCACTATTTGTCTTTGAGAAGCTCTTATCTAGCAAACCAGGTGAGTATTTTGTTCACCAAACAGTTTTGTTTGGTCATTGTGATTACCATCTCCTTTGTTTTTCTTCTGGAGATACAATGCTGCTTGTCTTTGGGGGTTCTGCTGTAGCAGTGATTGTTTGTGAGTTTTTTCTTTCTTTTTTTTTGCTTGATCACTCCTTCATCAAAAAAAAAACCTTTTGTAAACTAATGTCTTTTCTTTCTTAGGCAACATGGCACAGCAACTTTCTGCAATAGCAACTCAACTGGAGGAGGAAAACAACTCCTAAAGCAGAGATTGATCCAGACCTAGTTTATAAGAGAGCTGAAAACTCAGCTCGAAAGAATGCGGCCGGCTCAGGCACAAGTGGAAAAGGAACCTGCCATCACCCCAGATCTTGTTGATTAACGTGCAACACTCCGAAAATATCATGCTATCTCTTTTAAATAGAAAAAAAAATATCTACATGAAAGGGAAAGGTGAGAGCAAAGAGGTCAAAAGAAAGAAGCTGCTGAAAAGATTCAAGGACAAGAAAAAAGAGATAGCGTGATATTTTCCAAGTGTTCCACATTAATCAGCAAGATCTGGGGTGATGGTTCCTTTTCCACTTGTGCCTGAGCCCACATTCTTTCAAGCTGAGTTTTCAGCTCTCTAACCGGGTCTGGATCAGTCAGTCAATTTTCCTCCTCAATCCAGTCGAGTTGCTATCACAGAAAGTTGCTGTGCCATGTTGCCTATGAAAGAAAAGACATTAGTTTGCAAAAGTGTTGCTCAAACTATTCAAGAAACTAGCAGTGATGATGATAAGATCAAGCCAGACTTGCCTAAAGTTGAAGCTCTCAACATCGATGGACGCCTCAAATTCTTGACCTGAGAGTCAGTCAAAACGATAAAGGCAAAAATTAAAGTATGAGATTCGCTTTTCGAAGGAAGAAGACTGGCCAATTCGGATAGCGAAATTAGCGGGTGCAGCCATTAAGTTACGAATCAAAGCCTCGCCTCTGATTTCCTCTTGATCCTTAGAATCGAGATTGGGTTGTTTTTGAGTAGATTTTGATAATAGTTTCTCCTTTGTTAAATCATCCTATTGATGTTGACCCGTTCCAATCCAATCCAAAAAAAAAGAAAAAAAGAAGAAAAAATTAATATATGGGTGACTAAAAAGAGGAGGAGGCGGAGGAGAGGGATGAAGAGGAGAGGAATCCATACCACTAACACTCCAACCAGGGACAACTCTGAGTGCTCTGAGCACCCTCGGATCGGCACAAAAGCCGGCCACGTGCACCTTCACAGCCAGGAATGAGACCGTCCTTACGCCCAAGCCGACGAGGCGCATGGGCTCTTCGAGGTTGATGTGCTCGGGTTTGAGTTGGGCATGGGCAGGGATTTCCAATTGGGTGGCGGGATCTAAACCAAGGACATCAAGCTTGGTCAGTTGGTCTGTGTTTGCCCAAGCTTGAATGAGTCTACAATCAAGCCTACCGATCATGTGTTGATTTGTTGGTTGGTTGAGGACGATCATCGGTGGTAGAGGTTCGTCTATCTTGAGATGAGTTGATGGACGAGCTTCGATCTGGTCTTGGAGGTAGAACCATAGTCCGATACTGATCACCAGTCCGATGGATGCAGTCCATTTGAGGTTGATGTCTGAGATGGCTTGCTTGAAGCCATAGAAATCCCTGTGGGAGTTTTGATGGAGTCCTCGTCTGGTCAAGAGCGTGGTCGGTCTGGTTCTTCTGCTGAGTTGGTGGAGGATGTTTTGTTGCTGTGATCTGGTGATGATCAAATGTGCTTGCTTGGTGGTTCGGAACATGATGGATCAGGGTAGCCACTTCACGGTTGAATGAGAAACTGAGTTTGAGGTAGTTTATAATACAAAGCTATTCATTCAAACACCCGAAATTATCTCCGAGGAGAGCCCGAACTCCGAAGGGCTTCCGGAGTTGGATGATTTGCTACGATTTGGGTCATTTGGTACATATTTACACATTCATTGGAGCGAAGGGATTGAGACTATTTTGAACCGGCAGGCCCCTCCGTAGCATGCATGCCTTTGGTATGGCCAAAAAAGAATGGACAAAACGACATGCAGAGATCTGGGAGCAAATGGGGGAAGACTCAGAAATTTTACATTTTCCAAAAAAAGCTTCCCTAAGAATGATAGAAAAACAGAATTGAAAAAAAGAACATCTACTCAGCCGTGGCTGACCGAGGTGTGTCTTATTCGACTCGACTGATGTACAAAACTAAAGAAAATATGGGGGGGAGGGGGAAAGGTCAAGGAAAAGATAATTAGCGTCATGAAAGATGGATGAAGAAGGATTGAAAGAGCAGACCATTGTTCCCCCTTAGGAATGCATCCCCATAACTATTCCGCTTGATCCCATTAACATACTCCTCAGTGTTTTCGAGAGCGATGTTCATGTACCCATCCAAGCAAGACAAAATACCTGCAAGAGGGGAAAACAAATAAACGAATGGAGACGGGTGCTTGAGTCAACGGAGGGGAGCCTTACCTCGATAATCTACTCCGCTATTCAGCCTGACAGTTACTTGATGACCGACGACTTGTTTTAGGAAATCCGAGGGAGTCCCGCCGGTGCCTGTACTGGGTACGTTTAATGTCTTGTCATCGGGTGGTGAAGCCTTGTCATTTTGGTCGGACATTGTGTTTTGTCTAGTCGAGTTCCGTTGAAGTCTATGGTCTGCTCGTCTTGTTGATTTTTGTTCGAGATTCGTTGTCAAGAATTTCTAGGGCAAGTGGAGTTTCGGGCCTTTACAACTTCAACGGAAATCGATCCCCGAAATGGGGCCCGGGTTCCATATATGTACAGCCAACAGGGACCCCGGGTCATTGTGGCCCCACCACCGTCATCACCGGCCTGTCGGCGGGTGCTCCAAGTACCTTGGCCAAAGTCTTGACTTACAATCGTGAAGGATTTGCTGATTTGCATCATCCTTCGAGTTCGTACGTTCTTCGAGTGTAGATTAAGCCCTGTTCACGATGGGATCGGTTCGGAAGAGCAACCTGCTGAATGGAGTCTTGAAAAGCGCAATAGCATCTCCTGGCAACCACTTCAATGCTACTCGACGGCCCTCAAGTTTACTATCTCAACCCAGAAGAATGCTGTCTGATTTCCACCGGCTCAAAGGCTCCGGTTTAGTGCCCATGGTGATCGAGCGTGAAGGACGCGGGGGCGAACGCGCTTTTGATATCTTTTCTCGGCTTCTCAGGGAGCGGGTGATCTTTGTTGGTGGAGAGGTCAGTCCATCAATCCGTTATTGAACATACACTCTTTTTTACAAAAAAAAAAAAAAAAAACCCGACTCTAACAACCTGCAAGTCGTCAATTTATGCTAAAGTAGTATCGCATCCCCTTTTTGAATCATCGACATGGTCTCGATACCGTCTGGATATTTTCCAATCAATCCACAACATCGCAAATCTTAACATATCTTGGCTCTTATCCTGCGTCGCGATCGATTGCTCAACTCGCGACGATTACACGAAAACTGGCTAGATCAATGACGCGGATGCAAACTTGATCGTGGCTCAATTACTCTACCTAGAGGCGGAAAGTCCAGATCCCATCGAGGTTAATATCTTCAAACATTTGATAACTTGACCAGCATCTTGGACTGGTCATCCGCTAACATATTCATTTTCGCGTTGGAACTCGAAATGAATAAAATGGCAATTTAATTACTCAAGTTGTATATGTCAGTCGAACCGTCAAATTCCCTACATGATGAACACAAAAAGGACAATAAGAAATCTCGAGGCTTTTTTTGACTGATCTTTAAATTGCATCGAACAAAACTTCACCTTTCCCAGAAATTCACCTGGTGGAAGCGTTACGGCTGGATTGGCAATTTATGATACTGTGAGTGCGATGAATGGTGACACTGTTTCGTATACAATTGTTCTCAAAATTGACAATGTGCTCACTTTCATTCTATCTGTAAATAAATATAGATGCAATATGTCCGATCACCAGTGCATACAATCTGCATAGGGCAGGCTTGCTCGATGGGGTCAATCTTGTTAGGAGCTGGTGCCAAGGGATTTCGCAAAGCGCTACCGAACTCGACGATTATGATTCATCGTAAGTCTAGGACTGATCATTTGTTCTTTGTCAGACACCTGAACATTGGGACTCCGGTGTCGTGATCAGAGCCATCCGGTGGTTCAAGTGGTCAAGCATCAGATATGGCCATTCGGGCCAACGAGATCTTACGTCTGAAGAAACGCTTGATCGAGATCTACGCAAAGCATTGTGGCAAAGAAGACGAAAGTCAAACGGACCGATGCAATCGATTTGGTCTGTAAACTCGCAAGATTTTGATTACAGATCTTCCTTGTCATAAAACTAACCTGATTGATTTTGATTTGTCCTGTGGGCGACCGGGGATGTGCTCATTCGACGTGCGGGTTACTCAACAAAACTTCAGAACAAGCCTTGGAGCGAGATAAGTTCATGGACGGTGAGAGTGCCCAAGCCTTCGGGATTATTGATCAGGTCGTCGCCTCTCGTTCTTCCAAGCCCAACGATAATTAGTCCTACCGGCACGGTACAAACTCAACTGCAGAGTCCACCAAGCCGGTCCTCAATAATTTAGTGAAACTTATCTGAAGGCAATAAATCAATGATAGGTGTCAAAATTGTGGCTTGAAATACGAAATGAGGAGAACTGGAAAGGCTTTGACGCGTATTGGGTAGCATATTACTCTTAAATTTGATTGCATTGACTCTTCTTCATGTATGGATGAGTGTCGTTTGCATCGTCTGTGATTCTCCTGATACGGTCCCATTTTCAAGAAGGTTAATCTTAGGAATACATATCTCTCCAAAGCTCTTCAGTCCATCAGATCAATTTTGTGCGGCATACCTGGTCTTCTGATTTGTTTGCTCCCTTCTGATGACCATGCCTGGAATTGACAGACCAAAGCTTGTTTAAAATGATGGTAAGCCAGAGAGTGTCATGAATCATCCAAATTGGCACAATCTCCAGTTTTCTTGAAAGATCAATCCCTGGCTGAAGCCTCAAAATGTCCACAGCCGCTTGGGCATGTATGCGATGGATGTCATTATTGAACCTTAAAGAGGTCTTAATATGTGGATGTATTCATCCAAATCTTATGTATGCGGGCAGCGGGGTGAATGAAGAAATAAGATCATGGGAGTTCCAGCCGAGCTGTTGAACTGTTCTGCCCCGTTCCGTCTTCCACTCTTACGTCAGCCCTCTCATCGACGGTGTTTTTCGCAGTTAGTCAGTCGATGACGGGCGTTTCATCCAGGGAATCATTCTGCATTCATCAAGCAGTCCCCTGACCCTCCGTATTCGTCCAACCGTCGGGAGGTGAACAAAAAAAAGCACCTTCGACACGCTCGGCGGTTACGACCGACCTGAAATCATCCAGAGACGGGGGTAATGGCTGTGTTATGTGGGTGAAAATACATCGGCACAGCAGAGGTCAGCGGCTTGAGCTTGGCTTCGGTAACCATCCGTTCTCCTCGAAGCCTCTTTTTTTTTTCGCAGGGAGATCAGTGATCCCTGGCTTGCTTATGTAAGAGGTGCGTTTGACCGTTGAATTTGACTCTGCACGTCCATCAATCAATTCACTCCCTCCTCCACCCTTTTTCACTCACTCTTCTCTTCCCCCCTCCATGCTCCACTCCACTCCACTTCACTCGATTCGATCCCATTCAGTCGCTGATCTCAACCATCTCAGTTTCACCACCCACCAGCAGCATACATATCATCATGACCTTGCCACTCTCCTCATTCGGCCCGGTAGTCGACTCTGGACACAACAACACCCTCAGCAATGATGATAACCCTCACAGCAACAACACCCACTCCGACGACTACGATACCTTCGAAATCTTTGACCCCCGGGGACTCTTCTCACCAGCCACCAACCACCATCAAGCACTCTCATCGGATAATCTGCTCTGGCTCAAAAACCAGCAGGCCGGATCACCCCAACCAGCTCCCTCACTCCAGTCAGCATTCGGCTTCTCACTCCCACCCTGGTCGATCGACCCTGCCCATCCCACTCAGCCCAACAGCAGCAGCAACAACAACAACAGTACCACCACCACCACAACAACACCAGCAACAACCAAGACTATCGACCACCTCAACTCTCCTCAACATTCCTCACCCAGTTTCAGTCCACCCAACTCATCCTTCAACCTGCCCCCAGAGTCTACCCCTCGGATGATCAGCCCTGTCGAATCACCCATCTCCCCATGTAGTGTAAGCCACTCTTCCGCTAAAACTTAGTCTCTCCCCCTCCAGCTGGCTCTCTCTCCCCCACAGACCCTTTCCCCAAACAAGCATCTCCCTCTTCCCTATAAATAGAGACCCTCTCACAAGCCTCTAGCATGTTGACTGGCTCACCTCAGAAAAGAACTGCTTTTTTTTCTTTTTGATCACTTGCACCCACTTTACCTCTGCTCCTCTCTTGATTTTTTTTTGTCAGCAGCGTATCTTGTCATCCAAAAGATACGAAAGGCTTGAGGAACGGTATCGTAAATTGTCACATTTCTCCCCTCCATCCATACAATGACACACACCCACCCTCCTTGGTCTAATCTGTCTTCCTTGAGCATCAACTCGCATTAACCCTTTGACTTGTTCTCCTTCCCCTCCCACAGTCACTGCTCCAATTTTGCCGCTCACCCCCCACCAGCCTTTCGATGGATCAAGCCGGCTCTCTCACTCGTGGTCGATCACCCCCTCCGCGATTCCTCTCCCATTCTCATTCTACTCCCTCGCCCTCCTCATCCGCCACATCCTCACCATCTCCCTCCCACCACCCCGTACCCATCATGCATCCTATTCCCTCTCATCCTCGTCAAAATCCTGCTTGCACCCATCATCGACCGACCCCTATCGTCACCTCAGGCATTCGAGACTCATCCTTACCATCCCGGCTCTCCTATCTGCGCTCGGACGACCGTCTTGATTCTGTCTCCTCGCTCGCCTACTCTGACATGGATGCTTCGCCTGCTGTCAATTTCCTATCCGCTTTTGCTGATGCGACCCTTCCTTCAATTAGAACTGAGATGTCTCCTATTCCAACAGTGCCATCCGAAGTTTTGGAGGAGGGTGACCAGGTGGCCGGCTATATCTTTGGTCCGATCATCGGTCGGGGTGGTTTCAGTGTGGTACGCGAGGCTCGTCATCCAATCACCGAGCAACGGGTAGCAGTCAAGATCGTTCGAAGGTCTACCACTACCACCCTCCCCGGATCACAGCACAAGCCTCGCTTCCCACCCCAGCCAGTCTCACTTCACGCTTCCATTAGCTCTCGCGATCGCTCCTCATCGGTGGCCATGACCGTCAACGGACACCTAGTTAACTCTGCCCATCTACCCTTGCCCACCAGTGCTACCGAGGATCTTGCGAATGCGCTACTCAAACAGGAGATCAGAGTCTGGTCGAACTTGAGGCCACATCCCAACCTGGTGCCTTTGCTCTCACTCCACGAGACTCCTACCCAGACGTTGCTATTCATGCCCATCTGTGAAGGCGGCAACCTGCTTCAACTGCTCAATCAAGTCAAACTGAACCCCAACGAGCAAGACAAGCTATACGAGCTATTCAATTGGCCATCCTCTGATCCATCCTCGTCGCCATCCCTTGGACAACCTGATTCCTCCATGTCGCCTGGCGGTCTCCGGTTGGATCTTGTTCGACCGATCTTTTGGCAAATCGTCCAGGGCCTCAAGTATCTCCATACCGAGGCAGGTATCGTGCACAAGGACATCAAGTTAGAAAACATCTTGATTCAGAAGGGGCAGATCAAAATATCCGACTTCGGTCTGGCCACTTATCCATCCCCTGGACGCCCCATCGACACCTCCAGAATGGGTAAAGGAAAAGCATCATCCAGTTGGAACCGAGATCTGTCTCTTCCCAAAAACTTCAGCGCTCTGCCCCGAATCAACGAAGGCCGGATCTCTGGAAGCGTCGACCCCCGGACGCTAACCTGGAGTCAATCTCATCACAACCGCTCTCGACTCCCGCCCAAACTTGATAACTCCATGTTCTCATCTCAGCCAGTCAAGGAGGTCGATGACGATGATATCAGTAGACAGGAAGATGATTCCCTCTCCTCGATCAACATGTTCCCCACTGCCGCCGGATCATTGGCTTACACCCCTCCGGAACAGTTAAGATCTGAAACACCCTTGGCCTGTCCCTCCTTGGATATCTGGGCCCTCGGTTGCGTCTTGTATGGTCTCCTGGAGGGGCATCTCCCATTTGAGGATGACTTTGAGCCGAGGTTGAGACTGAAGATCATGAATGGACAATTTGAGTTCCCAGGAACATTGGTAGTCAAACCGGATGAAACGAGTGAGACAGACGGGGAGCAGAAAATGATGGTCGCCAAGGTGCTCAAAGGCTGTCTAGCGGTCGACAGGAACAGTCGATGGATGATTTCCGAGATCGTTAGCTCGTCTTGGCTGGAGCGACACCAGACGCCGGTCCACAGTCGGGGTGGGACGATGAGCGACGACTCGGGCCAGTCGTCTTCAGAGGCTCCCCTCGACGAACTTTCAATGTCCAAACGGTCCGCCTCTATCAGCTCAAGCGCCGCCTCGGCCTGGTCGATAGAAGAGCTCTCGCTCGTTCCTGGCGCGGAGACCTGCACCAACGATAGACCATCCAGCCCCTCGGGATCGGACAAAGACGACTTGGTGATTGGATCGTGTCCTGCTGCCTTCCAGGCCATCCTGCCTCTCTGTGCTAGCTCTGACAACTCAGCATCCCCTTTGCTCAATGAGAACGAACTCATGGACCTCCACTCACTATTGACCAACGTCCCCTCCGGATCATCACCCTCCTCTCCCCTCTCTCCCCCTCCTTCCACAGGCCTCGACCGCCCCGCTCGTTCCAGACGACGCACATCCGGCTTCGACAGGCACCATCATATCAATCGCATCCAACACCCCATCCCCAGGGCCTCTCCTCCCGTCCCCCTCCCTTCTCACTCTCGCTCCAGATCCAGAAACCGCAGCCCATTTTGCCCTCCTAAATGATCCTCCTTTCTGCTCTCTCATTCCCCTCCCGCCTTTATTTGAAAACTTCCATCTCTCTAACCCAGCTCTCTTACCTATTGATCTACCTCAAATCCCCCCTCATCCCAACTTCGATCAAATCACCACTTATCTTTCTTTGCGCTTGACCCTCTCTCTCTCTCTCTCTTCACATCACCATCACCTCTCTTTCTTCAACCCACCACCCTGGCTTACCCCCAAAAAAGCTCTTGACTGCCTTTGTCATGAGTTGTGCATCCCTTGTCTTCTTTTTTCTCTTCACTTCTTTTTGGTTCACTTTTTTTCTTTCCATGTCCTTTTTTTTCTCACTTTTACTTTGTTTTTGATTCATTGATTGAATGTTGTTTGTAAAAAATAAATTACTATTCCTAAAAAAAGAGTCATATATAAACCAGTTCATTTTATCATGTTTTTTTTCTTTTTCCTTTTTTTTAAAAAAAAAATCACATATATGACAGGTGTAATTTCATACATACATATAACAGTATACCTATATGATGTTTTTTTTTCCTTCTCTCAAGAATTACATGAATTCATATATATATATATATATACATAATTTGTTGATATATGTACAAAATATTACCTCTTTTTGTTGGTTTCTTTTTTACACTTTTTTGAGGGGCAAGGAGGGAAGAAGAAGAAGTAGAGAAAAGGGGTCTTTTGGGGGTCATCAAGGGTTCTTCTTTCTTTTTTGTTCATGTTCTTTGTTTGCTTTTTGTTTTTTTTTGTTGATCTTGGTGTGATACAATGATTCCATTCAGATTGATTTCTTATCAAAAACTATGAGATTCATGGTGGTTTGGTTGAGTCATCAGGGTGACAGTTTGAGTAGGTGGTGGTAGGTGGCAAAGAGAGAGAAAGAAGACCAAAAGGGCCAGAACCATGGGATTCAATTGTGCAAATTGGGCATTCTTTCTGCCTTCTACACAGAATTGGACAAGACATGGAAGGATCAAAAATTGGAATTGTTCACTTTTATGCCAACAAATGGCTTGTGCCCTGTTCTGGTGATCCTCAATTTTGATGAAACATAAACTTGAGTAAGATATGTAGATTCTAGAAAATTATATTTTCATGCCTTTATATGGTACTGGCCCTAACTGATGGAGCTGATCAATTGAATTTCTGGAATGTAGGCGCAGAAAGTTCAGGTTGGCTGGATGGCCCACAAGCAACGCTGCAACAAATACAAATACACAGTTTTTATCATGATTCATGAGGAATTGTACAAACATATATGGCAAAGAGCCAGGTTAAATAAACAAGACTCTGATCAATAGAACCACATTTGTCATAAAAAAGAAAATCACATCAAGACTGTGATACATGAAAAAAATACATGCCAATACATTAATAAATACTGTATTTGTTGCAGTGTTGCCACCAGTGGTGATCCCCATGTTGGGAAGATTGAGCATGCTCTCTTCTCTTTGTTCAATTTTGGGTCTACACTGAATCCCTTGACCAACCTCCATGTAGTCTTGATGAAAGAAAAAAAAAAACTTGGGCAAACGTTTTACACAGGTTCCACCTGCATCCACAAGCCAGCTTCATTCCATGTAACATCCATGGATCCTCCAGCTTGAAAGATCTGGTATCCTGAAACTGAGCTTGAGTGTAGCCAGTGGTGGATTGCTAAACGTTTCTGATAGTGTAGCAGCACTTTTTGTTGGGCACAAATTCTGTAGTGTTAGTAGCTCTCTGTTACAGTACACTCCACTGTCAAAAAGAAAAAGCTGTTAAACAGCACAATAGCACAGTGCAGTGTAGTCTAATTAGAACTCATTGTGGCAATTTTTATTAAACAACTCTAGTCTTGAAGATTGATTTCATTCTTTTTCCAGTCCACTATTTGACTCATCAAAAACCAATTATTATTGAGAATTAACACCTTTCAATATTTGTGGTCTAATTTGTGTTTTCTCTTGATTAATTTACTGGCATGACTCAAAGAGATTGAGAAGGATTGTTGTGTTGTTTCTTTCAAGAACTCATATATTTATTCCTCTCAGTTTTTATTCAAAACCATCTTTTATTCAATTCTCTTTCAACCACTTTTTTCCACTTGTATGTAGCCTATTTAAACTTGACTAGATGCTTGTTGAATAAAAGAAAAACATTGGTTTCTTACATTCTTTTTCCATGAGCCTTTCCCAAAATGAGATCTTTTCTTTTGTTGGCCCTCGAACCTCTTACGCACTTGAGCTAAGAATTCTAACAATAGTTATTAAACAATACCTACAGTCAGCATAGCTGGCCCATTGTTGGTGCTGCTCTACTGAGACAGTCCTCCAGAAGGTTTTGATTCTGCATGAGAAGCTGCAGTGCTTCTATGGTCCCAAAACTTCACCCAAGAGTAGATATCACATAAATTTTGAGGTGACAAAGTTGACAAGCAAGAAAAAAGCCTTTTAGCATGCAAGATGCGAGAAATGCCATCCTGAAGGCCCGCCCCTATTGGGGTTGAAAATCTTTTGGACCAGAGGTGAGGGCTCCCAGGATTAGAGATGTTGATTCCATACACCAAGATTTGTGCAACAAGAGTAGATTACTACAAGATTGTATACCATTTGAGCTCCACACTTCATTTGGCTAGGGTTAAAACTGTGTCTAAATTGAGACAGTCAGAATTTCAAGTGGTTGTACAACAGGCTAAACAGGTTTTCTGCAGCAATATTATTATACTGAAGCTCACACTTCTCTAAGTGATTGGTTTGAAGTAGATAATAACCTGTAGTTTTCCAAAACTTGTTTGAAGGGAAGTGGCTTGTGTTTAATTTACATGGGTATCTCTCAGAGATCTCAATCAAAGGGGTGTTTTGGATAGATGATATGAATGCATCAGAATGATTTTCATTCCTGGTCCAATTCTCCAAGTTCAAGATGGTGTTCACGTTGTATTTACAATACAGCCCAATATAATACCAATAGCGGTGTTCATATTTGGACCATAGATGCATAAACATGAATCTGTAAATAAGTTTTTTTTCTCTCTTGAATGAATTGAGACTAAGGATGATAATTGGGCCGGGTGTCCAATGGCCAGGTTGGGGCTGATCTTTTGATAGAATTTCTTACTTAGGCCTGGCCTGAGATGATCCAAATAAAGGTTGGGTCCACTTGGGCTGCCTGTTGGGCGCCCGTTGGGCCAGTGCAGTGGGGTGCCCTGCTGGGGGCTGCTAGCGCTTGGTCAGGTCCAACTGGGGATAAGTCAGTATTGGACCTCTGGTTTGTGTTTTTCTTTCCATCCAGTCTTTTGGAGACCCCAAGCCCGTGGGCTGCCCACAGGAGGCCCAGCTCAGCCCGCAAGTAGCCTGGATTCCTGTCCAAACAGTTGCCTGCGGGCAGCCCGATGGCTAATCAGGTTTGGGCCGGGCTGCTGATTTCCTGAATGTGGGCCAGCCCAAACCGCCCACGGGCGGCCTGATCCCTCCCCATTATCATCCTTAATTGAGACATGTATTATGTAAGCAGTTTTGTGAAGATAAAAAATATGAATTTATGTTTATGCACCAACTTTGAAAAAATATGAATTTATGTTTATGCACCAACTTTGAACACCGCTGATAAATGGTGTTGACAACACAATGGAGCATATAAAGTACATGTGCATATCAGTTTCAGTGTGAGTATAACTATACATATGTGTATGTACAAAACCTCATGTCATGTCGATACTTGCTGAAATGTTTCTGACTTTCTGGCTAAGAAGTATACCCTTGTCCTCATAGCATTTTTTGTATGATCTTCCATGTGTTCTGGGTGAAACCAAAATATTTGAGTATGCTCAAGCCTAGTTAATATCATTGGAATAATGCAAAACATCATGTATTACTTTTCCAATTTCCAAAACATGTTTGGAGGGGAGCAGCTTGTAACAAACTTGCATAGATCATTTTCACAGATTATGACACAAAGAGGGTCTTTGTAGAATATAAGTACACTGGCAGAATTCAATTTCAAAGTTTCTTGGGAAATACCTTTTTTTCTCAAGCATTCAATAGTGGTTTAAATTGAAAACTATTCAATCCTAGTAGAATTTCATCTATCATGAAGTTAAATTTCCCAATTCAATATCTTGTTCTGTTGGGACTAGCCACAGTCCACTTTTCTCTGTCTAACATAAATGAACCACATTTAGATCTTGATGGAATTGAGTACACACGTCCAGGCAAGCGAAAAGCTTCCCTCTTTTATCAACTTTCCATATGATGTTATGATTCTGATAAGCGTTGATATTTTTTCTTATATAACAGCAAAGAAAATTAAATTGAATGAAGAAACTGGATCTGGAAAATCCATTGAAACAACTCAGATACCCAATGACAGTTTCCTAAAAAATAATTTGGATAACAAAACATACCAGGAGACATGCAAAAAGAACAAAGGTAATGATTGTTTTTATTTTGTCTCAATTCCTGATGAATTAGAGGTATTTTTGTTGCAAAACTGACTTTTCCTTTCAGCAGAAATACAGGAAATGGAAAGAGGGATTTTGGAAATCCGCCTAAATATTGAATGGCTTAAAAAGCATGAGAAGTCCAAGTTTTCAGAATTTGCAGAACTACTGGATAAAATTGATTCCAATCTGAAAGGGCCAATTCTGGAAAAGCTGGTTGAGTTAAAAGGAAGAAGACCTTTCAGTTCTCTAATTGCTTGGTATGGTCGATGGAGGGTTGGCATACCAAAGCAAAAAACACAATTCAAACCAACAGGAACAAATCAAATATCAGATCACACATTCTCTATAATCAAAGAGCGTTTCATGGCAGAATTGGTCTCCATTTGGAATGATTTACATAAGAATATCAGGAAATGGAAGGATGGGCCTTGTGAGACTGGTGAAGGAATTATGGGTGTTCTGGTCTCTACTAAGTGCATGTTCCTCATTGAGAATTTTATCAGAACACACAAATTGATTTCCCCTAATTTTTTGGAGAAAATAAAAACATTTGTGCCAGAAAGTCATTGAGTTCTGTCTTTTCTTAAATTTCTTTCAGTTTATTTCTCAATTTGGTTCTGCTTCCACCCTTTTGCATCTCACTTAGTCTGAGACACTATTTTAAATAGTAGCTTCAGGCCAGAGGTTGTGTAACGTTTCTTTTGTCATCCTTCCACTTTCATTTTTGTTGGCCTAGTTGAGCAAATTCTTTGTTTTCATTGGAGGACTTTCTGCAAAAATCTGAGGATGCCCCAGTTTTGATTTGGAGCCTTTAAAGCTAGATTTCCCTGTGAAAATATAGAGCTTTTGGGTCTAAATCAAAAACTGTGAGGTCCCCAGATCCAATGGGAAGTTTTAAATTTCTCCTTTCTATCTCATGTCTCATTCTTTCTTTGAATACTTTCTTATGGAATCATCATTCCCTGTCAACCATTTCTGGTGCATGCTGGCTTCATGATAAGTGTAATTTGGAGTATAAATTCTAATCCATCAGGGCTCCAATAAAAATGCAGTCATGACACATGGTAAAATATTTTGTAGATTCCAGTTCTGAATATGCTATATTTTACTCCAGGAAGAATCTGAGAAAATACATGATCAGTTGTTTTCTTTAAATTTTCTCGCAACTTGAAGACATGAGACTTGGTCAAGTGGCAAAGATTGGTTCCAAAAATCATCTTGGTGGCCAAAGTGACAAAACTTCAGACTTCCTGTTGTTTTTTATAGGCCTGTAGATGCTCTTCTGAGTCCTGAGATAATGCATTATTAGGATTCCACACTTGTTACTCTGGAGGAATGAGAAGAGGAAATATTGAAATAGCCGCTGGGTTGGTTCTTTTTTTCAATTCAAGGGGCACTGGGACTCACAACAATTGGGTTCCTGGGAAATGATTAATTTCAAATGAGAGGGAGCTTCTGAAATAATCATCATCCGTCACACTTGTAACATGACAGATACCCTTCTATGACACTAAAGTGGAAACATGCTTATTTCACCTTAAACTCAAAGTGACCAAACACACATCTTCATATTGCAATCTACACTTTCAAACCTCAGAACACCCTATCTTTGCAAATTTGGATTGGTGTGATGAAATAAAAAGTGAGAGAGACTGGAGGACTTCTCGTCGGATCTGGGACCCTCACAGAAGTTGATCTAGACCCAAAAATTCTTGATTCTCGCAGAGAAATTTGAATTTTGAGGCTCTAAACCGGCTCTGGGAGACCCGCAGATGTTGACGGGAAATCCTCCACTGATAGCTGTAGAAATTTTAAACCAAAGCACACAAGAGGTGAAGGGCCAAAAATATAGGATCTTATTTTTGGGAAGGGCTCACGGAAAAAGAGTGTAAGAGCCGATGAGTTTTCATTCAAAAGTAAGAAGCCAAGTTTAAGTAGACTAGATACAAGTCTCAGAAATGTGGTTGAGTTTAATTTGAATAAAAAAGAATATTGAATAAAAGACTGAGAGGAAGAAACATGAGTCTTGGAAGAAACAAACCGTACAAAACTTCTCAGTCTCTTTTAGTCAAGCCGGATGAGTTAATCAAGAAAAACATGCTATAAACCACAGATATTTAGAGTTGTTAATTCTAAGTAATCAGACTTTATTAAATCAAACAGAAATATCAGGAAATAGAAGAAAACATCGTAGAGACATGAGTTGTTGAGAAGAGCATTACTTAGGGTTCATAGTTGACTCAAAAGAGGCTTAAAAACAACAAAAAACAAGCTACTTGATGAGTATAATCTAGTCTGATTTCATGATGACTAGAAAGGAAAAAGCAGTGATTTTGGGGAGAGTAGACCAGAGAAGAGGAAAACTCAACAATAGCAAAGAGAGAAGAAAGACCTGGGCTAATATTCCCATAAAACTCACAAACAGTACACAAGAAAGTGATGAATATAAGGCTTATGAAAATATCATTCTTTTCAGCAAAAATTGTGATCGAATTTTCACAAATTTAATTCTGAAGGGGCTGAAAAATAGATGGGAAGTCCTGCAATGTTTTGAAAACTTCACCAAAAACATTGTGACTTCTCCTTTTCTGGGAAGTTTCAATATTAAAAAAAGGATATAAAAGTATGGTATTCTGATTCATGAAGGTTGACAAACTGCTTTTAAGGCAATCCTGAGGAGAGGCCTAAATACAGGGTTTTCTTCTCTTCTCTGTTGGGATTGATACAAGCCTTTCTGGGTATTTTTATAATTGAGCATCACAAATACCCCATGGTCATCAAGACAACAGGCTGTGTTTTCTGTCCTCTCAAGAATTGCAAGGTGTCCAAAAAAATTGACAAAATTCACAAAGAAAGTGTTGTTCTTTGGCCAACATGTTGCAAAATTTGGTCAAAATATTGTGATGTAACCTACTAGCCCATCAATGCTCATTGATCAATCCATTAGCACCAAAATCATCCATTCTCTTACAAAAAATAGACACAAATTGGCATCATTGACAAAAAAAAACAGGAAAACTGCAGGTTTTCCATTCATTTGAGTCGAGCACTCTAATCAGAAAAAGAAACATACATCTTTATCCTAAGTTCTAAGTTCTAACTCATCAGGGGGGGGGCAGGGTACAATCAGCTCCTGACTAATAAAACAGGTGTTGGATGACGTTGAATAACCATGCTTTTGAATCTTGATTGGATTATATGGCCACAGGGACCATCTGCTTGAATTGCACAGAGTGTGTTATAATTGAGAACTCCAAGCCAAGGCAAAACTGTGATTTAGGAAGGAAGCCTGATGTAATTAGGTGTTGTGTACACCTACAGGGGATCGTTGATGATAAATGGTACATGGTGTTGAAGAATGCCTGAAGCAAACATTCAAACATTTATGTCCATGTATTTACCTCTGGAATTGAAACTGGTGTGGAACAGTTGAAGTGGAAAATTTTGATTTCACTTCTGGAATCTGGCATGAACAAAAGCTGCAAGCATCCAGAAAAAAGTCGAACATGCGGGTAGTGTAGTTTCGATGGTGTTTGTTTATCTCCAACAAGCATCTCTCCACTTTTCTTTCCGACAAGTCTGCAAGATGTATTTTAGGCCAAGTCTAGGAGGCTGCCATCTTGTTTCTCTCCAAATATCAGCATAAACAGGACGGTTTTTAGTTTGCAGCTGCCACGTCGTTTGATAGCCTTAAAACTTCCTATTGCGATTTCTTCAACCCCTCATATAACTACTGATACGCGACCTCCGACCAGCCCGCTGGATTCCGACCATGAATGGTAGCTTCAGTGTTCGTCGGTCGATCGATCACTTGGATGGAATTGCATCAATCTTTTCGAATATCAGTCAAGTCAGCTTCCTTCCTGTTTATCTCATTTCTCAATCTTCATTCTCGTCTCTCGCCTATGGATAACCAAACCTCATTTGAAAATGAAAAACCCTTCACTCTTTCTTTCCGCTCTTCTTCATCTTCACTCTGAAACATCAAACATCATCATCATGTCTTTGCAATCTGCTGTTCACTGATGACTGTACACATATCTTACACAGCTCATCTCCGCTGGGAAGTCTCAGACATCATTCAAACAGACAGATTGCCCTCCTTTTCTAAGGAATCTCCTTAACTTGATGGGAAGCGTCCCTCCCCCAAAAGGAGTCAGATGTCACATGAATATGTATTATTTTGGAGATTGGAGGAGGAGGAGGAGGATGGTGATCAGTCCTGTGATATGCAACTGCATTGTTATGTGATACATATTGTTGGCGATGATGTTGATGTGTGATATATGGCGATGGCAGCAGCCCCATCCTGATTGTATGGCTGTACTGCAATGTTTTGTAAATGCATAAATTAATATCAACCACCTCCTTCATCGCCCTCTTCCTTGTTCATTTCAGCCTTTTGGATGTGGATGTGATCATTGGTGTGATTCCGATCGATTTTCTTCGGACTCAGAAAAGCTGTTGATTTTTTTTTGCTTGCATCCGCAACTTCACCTTTAACCGTTAGTAAGCTTATTACCAGACGCTTACTCAGCCCCCCCTATCAATAGCATTCCCATCCAATATAAGGTCTTAGATAAGCATCCATTCGATCGGAGTTATCTGTTCGATCGGCTCTCCTGTTAAATATCTCGATTCTTGAACAGCAGCAACACTACAGCGGCCAATAAATCCTAGGATTCTCATTTGACCCAGTTGGGAAGTGCAACAAGGCTGATTTAGTTTATATCACCCATCCTTTGAAGCACTTATTAGAAAGCCAGAATGCCATCAGCTACTGCCCCTTCGACGATGAATGCCAGGACGGCCGAGTTGGTCCGACATCTCAATACCACCGCCATCACTAACTCCACCGAGTCTTATCCAGGTGAGCATGCATCAGCAAAGACTGTCGTGAAATCATGCCAACTGACGACCATCTGTCCTTCCAACCTCAATAAAATGCTTTCCAAGGCATGCATAAACTCAGGTCCTTACGGGCCGCCGCTACATTAAGAGACCCGTTTATTAATGAGGATACCGGATTTCCTCTCGAACTTCGTCACCGAATGGGTATTCGTGGCTTACTACCCCCGGCTATCGAAACCTTAGATCAGCAAATGGCTAGGGTTTTGGATCAGATGAGAACTAAACGAACTTCGATCGGACAAGTTGAGTTCCCTTCAGTCTTCTGTCTCGAGGCCATCAAACTGGACATTGTCACTCAAGAAAAGTTGTCGAGTTAAGAGTCGAGTTAAGATCACTGAAAAAAATTACTTCTCTTTCTTTTTCAAAAAAAAAAAATGCTTGGATGATGACGTCATCTAGTATATCTACTTGTCAAACTTGAGACAAAGTAATGTTAACTTGTTTTACCATGTCTTATTAACCAACACGTCCGAGGTTGTTCCACTGGTCTACACACCAGTCGTAGGAGAGGCCTGCATTAAATGGTGAGCTGACTGGGAAAATACGAACGAAATAAATAAAATACTTATCTGGCATAATACCCGTAGGTCTCACATTTACCAGCGTCCAGGTAAGCAATCACGTTTCTGAGGTTTTGGAAAAGGCTGTATTGCATCAAACTCTCCAAGAAGGAGATAATCTGTAGGGCAATTCTAAAATTGTAATGATTGCGGTCGGCAGAGGGACTATATGTGTCTTGGAACGATAGAGGATGTATTCGTGATGTACTGAAGAACTGGCCTTTACCTGAGGAAGCTAGAATTTGTGTGGTCACTGATGGCTCAAGAATTTTGGGTAAGTCTGCTGTGGTCTCATTGTTTTTTCACACTTTCTTTGAAGATAGATAATCCCAAGATGAGATTAACTCACTTCTATTGCAATTTTGTTTTGTCAGGCTTGGGTGATTTGGGTGTTGGTGGTAGTACGTAGCCCAGCTTTCGTTCTGGTCAAATATATCCAAGAATCCGCTTAGGTTTTTTTTTGGCTCGTTGAGAAACTAAGCAAGCCTGACTTTTTTTTCTTCATAGTGGGAATTTCCGTTGGCAAACTGTCGCTCTACGTGGCGGCTGCAGGGTAAGTTACTCAAAGGTCACAATTAACACCCGGATGTCTGTTGAATTATTATGAGTTGTTTAGCATTCGACCTTGGGCCACTGTACCGATCTGTATCGATCTTGGGACTGATAACGAAAAGAATTTGACTGATCCACTTTACTTGGGACTGAGGATGAAGAGGCGCTCGAAGGAAGAGGTGAGTTACCTGGGGATTTTCCCGCCGGAGATTGAACATTGTTCTGGGTAATCGCTATACCATCAATATTGACAGAATAAAAAACTTGATACTTAGGCTTTGGAGTTCATGGACGAGTTCATGGCTGCTGTACATGCCGAATTTCCAGAATTGGTTATTCAACATGAAGATTTTGCAACAGAGCGTGCTTTTGATGTATGTGAATTGACTAGTTTTCTCGTTGCGAGACTTCTTACTAATCCAGAAAGCTATTTAGTATCTAAAACGCTATCAACACAGCTATCCAATGTTCAACGAGTAAGTTTTGTGAATTATGCCGGGTTCTGTGAGTTTGCATTCTAACTGGTGATTGGACATTAATAGTGATATTCAAGGTACTGGAGCTGTCATCTTGGGTGGCTTCATCAATGCTGCTCGTCACTCCGCCTCAGCAAGTGGTAAGGAACTGCGTGATCAGCGGATCGTATTCATGGGGGCTGGAAGTGCTGGTGTTGGAGTAGCCAAGCAGCTACTCTCATTTTTCATCAACTTGGGTTTGTCAGAAGAAGAAGCAAAGGAAAGGGTTTGGTTAGTAGATACTAAGGTATGATATTTTCCTAACTTCTATTTTTGTATTAACATGGTCTAATAAAACCAACTTTCTCCTGGGTCGAAACACTCTTAGGGTTTGGTAACCCTTGATCGAGGTGACAAACTAGCCGCACACAAGACTTTCTTTGCTCGTCAACCAGGTGGCTCCCAGATCAAAACCCTCATCGAAGTGATCCAGCATGTGAAACCTACCGCGTTGATTGGTCTCGCAGCAACAGCGCACCTCTTCGATGAAGCAGTGGTCAAGCTGATGGCGGAGTTGAATCCTCGACCAATCATCTTCCCCCTCTCAAATCCTGTAGGTATACCTTGAGCGATATATAAATTGAGGCCAGAAACTGACTCTTCGACTCTTTTCCATGCCTCTTACATTTTTGACAGGTCCACCTGGCTGAATGCACGTTCGACGAGGCGGTCAAGTGGACCGACGGGCAGGTGCTATTTGCGTCAGGTGAGTATCTTTTAGATTGATGCAAGTTGCCAGCCAATGGTCAACTCCAGAGTAGCATGAGATGTTTAACATTGGTACATTCTAGGCTCTCCGTTTGCCAGCTGCGGATGGCGTGGGCACACTATTGAACCAGGGCAAGGAAACAACATGTATGTGTTCCCTGGTATTGGACTAGGGGCGATCTTGGCAAGGGTCAAGACAATCTCGGATAAGATGATCGAAGCTTCAGCCTTGGCATTGTCAGATTCTTTGACAGATGAAGAAAAGGCAGATGGACTCTTGTACCCTAGATTGAACAGGTCAGCGTCTACTATTCGAATAATATAGTTAGTGTGTCCCGCTGATTCTCGGGGGCTTAATCCTTTTTGATAACATAGGATCAGAGATATCAGTACTTCGGTAGCGTTGCGTGTCATCCGACAAGCCCAAGAAGAGGTCTGTTGATGAATTGATTCCCATTAGATAATTAATCGAAAGAATGATTGGATAGCTAATGAAAATCTTCATTTTGATTTCAAAGGGCTTGGTCGGAAATCCGATCATTGGAAATCTGGGTGATGACGAGTTGAAGAAGTACATCGAACAAAAAGAGTATTGGCCTGCTTTCATGTCTGGTGAACACATTGATTTGGCTATTAGATCCTGATTTAAAAACGTGATAACAATCAAGGGTCAAGAACAATTGAATATAAAATGAAATAGTCAGGCCATGAAAATGATTAGAGGGTATTTGATTTGATCAACTCTCAAAAGGTTTTGGTAGAATGCCAGTCAACTCCTATCTATTGCTGCAACCTGGATAACTTTTTGCGTTCACTTGAAAGGAACATCTGGGCCCGCTAGGTTTGACTTTATCCAATTCTTTATTTTCACCGCGACGGACTACGCAAATGTTTCTGCTTCTTCTCTTTGAGCATTGCTATTTTTGGTTTGATCGAAATTTCATTCTCAAAGTCAACATTTTCAGTGCTCCCATGCTGCAGCTTGATATCGTTTGTGAATTGGCCCACGGAGATGCACCATAGACAGAGCCAAAATATGTGAATTAGAGTGGACAGGACAAAAATTCTCAACTGGTCAGACTCATTTTCGACCCAACAAATTCATTACAAGATTTGGTCAGTAGTTCATTTTTTGTCGGCTACTTGGCCATGCTGACTGGATGTTTCCAGCTGGGTAGGCTAACTGGATGTGTTTCCAGCTGGTTGAATGGTCTAGATCACCCCGCAAACAAGGTTGTGTAGGTGCCCAATGGAGTGTCAAGTTCACTTTTCTTTTAGTGTTTTGTTTGCGAGAAGAAAATCTTCGAAGGAAGGGGACTTCCCCGCCTCCCTCCAAAGTAACAACAGGTTACAAGAAAAAAAATAATGAAAGCGATGAAAAATGATCATTTGGTTTTTTTATGAGCAGTCGTACCAGGGAAATGAGTTAACCAAACAAAAGAGAAAAGGAGGAAGCTAGCCAAGACACTAAGCGTGCCGAGGTAATAAGGATAAGCACCAAAGATAAATCGTTCATACTGATCGTGTTCGAGAGGGGTGACTGAGACTTGAATGCCTTTCTCTAAATGAGTGTATCCAGTTCTCCGACGGTAGTCGAGTTTGAAGGTAAACACTCCGTGTCGATCTGGGGCTCGAAATACAGTTGAATAGGTCGTGTGGGTCCCTTTGGGCGATTTAGTTGGCGTCAGAGTCACTCGCAGATGCGGATCGAGCATGGTGAACTCTAGTTGGAGGTCTTTCAGGGGACATGGACCCCATCTTCCGTTCTGTAACATCTGGACATCCACCTTGTACTCCTGTTATCAAATCAATGAATGAAAAAAAAACGCTTTGTTCAGCAAGAAGTTCGGAAAATTAGACGGAAAAATTCAAAGATCAAACTAACAATCTGCTCATTGACTCGGTATCGGGGTGGTTCTGGTTCTCCACCCACTTTGGAATGTGTGACTGATACAATCCGGAGTACCCCTGATTCTTGCATTACCCATTTTGTGAGATGATCGACCACCTTACGATTTCCTGTCGAGGTCCTATAAAAGGCAAAGTATTTCACAGACCAGCAGCAACAGTTTACAGTCAATAATCAGAAATTCGCTCGAGTGATAGATCGTTGAGAAAACCATCCAAAAGATGCATAACAGGACAGACTTTTTGCCATCAGGGAGTGTAAGCTCAGTCGTCATAAATTGATCTGAGAAGAAGTCTAGACTGCCGACGAAGAGTATTCTGGATTGCTTTTTGGTTTGAAAGGCGCTGACCAGCCCGATTTCGTCGCCAATGATGAACGGGTTGGGGTCGCTTTCTTTACTTTTTGCCTCGGCACTATACGCCAGAGGGCTAGCCCTGAGGACGCTCATCAGTAAGGGATTCTTGCCGACCGCATGACCGATCCCGCGGAACAAGACCGGCAGATTGTTGCTTCTTAGTGAGGGAGGAATGACTATCTGGTCTTCAATTAACGGGTTGGTCTCGATCGAGGTATAGGTTGTCAACGGATCTTGGTCAAGATGATGGAAGTTATCGATCACCGAGCTCGCTCGATCATCAAAGTCCACGTCAAACTCTCGTCCAAAGTCTCGCCAATACTCCGATAAATTCGTCGATCCCGCCAGGAGAATGTTGCCCCCATCTTCGAGAAACTGAACCAGAGCTTGTGGTGAAAGATCGGCTGGAAAGGCTGCGCGGTCAGACAGAAAGCAATCAATGATCTTGAAATTGCTAGGCCAGGCACTGTGCCCCTTGATCAAAACGCGATGAAAGGTTTTTATTAGGGTGAGACTCGCTGCGTACATTTCGCTGTCGGTGAAAAGAGAATCAAGTGATCGAATGCAGGTTCGCCAAACTCAGCCAAAGCCGGCGTGGCATCCTTGGCGGCTCGAAATGATAGCTGGTGGTTCCGGGCTTGATGTTTTTTTTTTGTGAAAGAAAAGGACAGGGAAAATTTGATTGAACAGAAATATCAGTTAAGGAAAGCCACTCCAAGAAGTATGAATGAATATTCGTACCATTTAAGGAGGACCAGAGCAGCTGGTAATTCGATCGCTCCACACCATCCTCGATGACGATCAGGATCTTGTCGGCAGAGACCCGGGATTCGAGGGAGATCAAGCCTTGGAGAAGGGTTGGCAAGAGACCGAAGAGATGGTTGACTTTCATTTCTCCTTCAAGCGTTGTACCGGATCAATGTGTTCTTCCTGGCTGGGTTCTCTCGTGGTGATCGCCGATCACTGGTACAGCACATCGTGGTCGACTTCTGTGACAGTCTGGCGGATGATGTGACAGCCATCCCGGCTTCAATTCATCTCATGTCACAGGTCGGGAGACCGCGCCACGCCTCCCTCAAGCGAGCTCATAAACTACTTCAATGGTGAAGACTACCTATTTGTATTTTTATTTTTTCTCAGTATCATTTATTGCAGTCAGACACTCTGGTGATGATCTCTATGTCTACCACAGAAACTGATCAAGAAACACGTTCTAATCACTTCAACCTTTTGGTAAGATTTCTGACTGAGTAACAAAAAACAGTAGTAAAGAATCTCTTGGTAGTATTATTAAGTTTTGAGCCATGAGAAAGGAGTACATCAAACAAGGGTTTCCTGTATCTTCCCCATCCCAAGACTGACTAAAACCCAAACACTGGCGAAAATTCCATAAGGTCCACATTTTGCAATCTGTTTATCAATGTCAGATAATTTTTCTTGAATTACTGATTCTTCATAGATTAATTTGGACGATGAACTTAATCCAAACATTTGGATGGCAATTTGAAAGGCTTTTATGAGAGATGATTCATTGATTTCTTCTCGATTGAGATTGGGATCCGGAATGATCGTACTAATCATCTCCACATAAAATAGAAACGTCACAATCGTATTCCTGATCTTATTTGGCCTTGAACATATCAAATTTTCGATGAAATCTCTAATCTCGAGATTGGTTATCTTCTTCCAATGATTATACCAAACCTCCCTATCTTCAACGAGCACTTCACACGCAGATTCGCGGAGGTTTTTTCGGGCCAGCTCGTCAAATTTTCGTCTGTCCCGATAAATCAGACTGTCAACTGTTGGGCCTTCAGGGCTGATATTGACTAGATGGTACGTCTTCTGGAACTCGAGGAATTGGTTTTCGCTCATCACTAGTTCTGCTAGCTCAACCCCATCGTACGTCAGAAATGGATACACTAACAGCTCCTCTTGGAATTTTTTCGAGTATATAGAGTGATCAAAGACTGCGCTATCGAACTTGATTTTTCCGGATTCGTCGTCTTTCTCCCTGTGCCTTTTGCGCCCAGGAAGACAATTCCTCGGATTGATAGACTCCTCTAACAAATTGAGTGTGAGGTTGATAGGATGCTTAAGAGGGATTCTGGTGGGGATTGAGGAAATGGTATCGGTGTTCTCGTACACATGTATCGGTTCATCTTGTTTATCTAGATCTATCTGGCTCGAGCGTTCCTCGTCGATCTTTCTAGTCAGACTGTCTGAGGAAGTCGGTTCACCTTCAGGGAAAATATAAAATCCCATCAGTTTGATTGGTTTTATTTGTAATGGAACCGGCGTGGTTGATGACTTGGCTTGATTTCCATAATTTTCGGATGTGGCCTTGAGTCTCTTACGCTCACGACCCTCTGCATTGGCAAGAATGGAATGTCTTGATGCCAAATTCATATCCGAAGAATCTCCTTGAATTCCTGAGTTACGATTATCCTCTATTGATTTTGATGCGTCCTTTTCATCCACGTACCCGCGCTCAAAAAATCCGGATGAACTTGTGGGTACCTCTCCATTTCCAGCCCCGGGAGTGAATCTCAGATGGTCAAGTTCCATTAAGCCATCTTTATTAGGAATCTTTACATTCTCTGGGTTACTCATCAGCTGGGCGGAAGAGGCCTGCAAACGATCTGGACAGACCGATGTGGCGCTTGCTGGTGCCGTATGCCGTAATGGCTCGACGGAGTCACGAGAGAGATTCCCCATTGCGGCGGAGTTGAACAAGAGTATCATAGCAAACGGCTTACGTATCCAGGCGCTCATAGCTGCTGTCGAATGATCTTGACTTTCTATCCCCCGTCGATTATTTGTGAAGGGAGTGAATGAAAGGAAATCATTTGCAGTCCATGCAAACCCCATGCAATGCTGGACTGGAGGGGTTGATACTTTAGCATGGACCAATAAGGATACATGCCAGCTCAGTTCACAAGTCCTAGAAGGTCATAAAATGTTTCAACCCTTGTCAGTCTGCATGAGCACATGGAATGGATTGTGTTCTGTATGAGGATTTGCAAATACATGTTTATATCACCATTCTCATCATTTAATACATGTCTCATCTTGGCTAGGCCTGAGTACATAGTGTGAGGGCCCACCTCTTACTCTTACTTTTCAAGTACTATGAGTTTATCCAAGATGATGAATTGTTGTAGCTTCAGGCAGAAAATGATTGTTGAACTTTGTAGACTAGTAAAGTTAAACTGAGAAAGGAATTCATGTTACATATATTGTTTATTTATCTCATATAATGATGATGATGTAAAGACACAGAACAAGAGTGTTTAAAGGAGAAAACAAAAGCAGAAAGGAAAAATGTAAAATTAAAGAAAAGAAAAGAAAAATAGAAAAAAATTCCACACCTGGATAGTGAGTGGAAGGACAAAGAAAGTGAAAGGGTTCCACTGGGAACCTGGAGAGCCCCTGTTGGACACACACATGAAAAATGTAGCAAAACTTTTTTTTTTCCGAAAAAGACACTGATGGAAAAGGGCCTTGATAAAAAAACGTGGTTTCTGCTGCGCGCAGCACACGCGGTTTCCGCGTTTAGACGCGGTTTTCTAATTATTTTTTTTGCCATTAATTTTAAGTTTTTTTGATTTTTTAAAATTGTTTCCTGGGTTTCCAAGCGTGTAGAATTTCATGGTAAAAACCATTTTCCATAAAAATGAGTTTTAATTATTAATTTTTTTTCCCACTCATTTTTTCCATTAATTGTATGCATACATGTTTTTACCTTATTTTTTATGCTTTTTTGAAATTTTAAATTTATTTCCTAGGTTTCAATACGTGTAGAACTTAATGGTATAAGCCAAATTTTTTAAAACTCAGAGGTTCATCTTTAATACTGAAATTTGACATTTTTTTCACTTAATTTTCTACAGCTTAATTTTCATTATTTTTTGACATTTTAAATTTATTTCCCACACTTTAAGACATGATTAATATTATGGTAATAACCATTCTACATAAAAATCAGCTCTTGTTACTGAATACTGTGTTGGACAGGTTTTTTTTAATGTTTTTTTGATTTATTTTTACCGGCTTGATTTTGATCATTTTTTGAAAGTTTAAATTTATTTCCTACATTTAAAAATTTTTAGAATTGAATGGTGAAGTCCAATTTCTATAAAAGTCAAAGGTTCAATCTCAATATAAGAGTGTACACTGTTTCTTGCATAATTTGTACCGTATACAAATTTTATTTGAATGCAAAATGAATACAGCCATCAATTTCAAAACCTTTCAAAGTGTAGGAAATGAACTTAAAATTCCACAAAATAAGGATAATTAAGTGTGTAAGAATTAATTAAGGAAACACGTCAAAGGCATTATTCAAGATACAGTTTTTATTTTGATGCAAATTGATTGTTTCCATCATTTTGAACATGTCTGAAAGTGTAGGAAACAAATTTAAAATGTCAAAAAATAATGAAAATTAAGCTCTTAAAAATCAATTGAAAAATATGAATAATTACAGTATTCAGAATGAACCGTTGAGTTTTATGGAAATTGAAAGTTACCATTGAATTCTACACACTTTTAAATGTAGGAAACAACTTTGAAATTTCAAAAAAGCATAGGAAATAAGGTACACACATGTATGCAAACAATGCAGTGAAAACATGAAGGATTAATTAAAAAAATGTGTCAAATGCAGCATTCAAGGTATATTTTTCATTTTTGGGAAAAATGGTTGTTACCATAATTTTTGACATGTCTCAAAGTGTAGGAAAAAAATTTGAAACATCAAATTAAGCTGTAGAAATTTAAGTGAAAAAAATGTCAAATTTCAGTATTAAAAATGAACCGTTGAGTTTTGAAAAGTTTGGTTTACACTATTAAATTCTACACGTATTGAAACCTAGGAAATAAATTTAAAATTTCAAAAAAGCATAAAAAATAAGGTAAAAACATGTGTGCATACAATTAGGGGCTTGGAAAAACGACTCCTAAAAATTAGTCGACGACTCCCGTTTTGGTCGGGGGGTCGTCGGATGGGAGTCGTTCTTCCAATTCCCCCCAAAAAAAGGGGAGTCGTCGTCCTAATTTCAATGGCGATTTTTTAAATTTTATTTATTAAAAAAATGGGAGTCGCCCGCCTAAAGGGCGGGAGTCGTCGTACCAATTTAGCCAAATATTTTTTATTTTTTTTCATTAAAAAAATTGGGAGTCGCCCGCCTAAAGGGCGGGAGTCGTCGTACCAATTTAGCCAAATATTTTTTTATTTTTTTTCATTAAAAAAATTGGGAGTCGTCTGCCTAAAGGGCGGGAGTCGGCGCCCCAATTTATCCAACTAATCTAATTTTTTTTTATTAAAAAAAAAGGGAGTCGTCCAACTCAAAACAGGAGTTGTTGACCTCTAGCGACCCTAAAAACTCAAAAAAAAAGTTCAGCCACTGGGGCCCCGCCCCAAAGGCACTTTATCAATGATTAAAAATTAGATTCATTGAGAAAAACAAATTCAAGAAATAATTGAAATAAATTGATGAGATGTTGAGAAATGTAAACAAAAAAACAATGAGAAATGTAAGAAAAAAAATAGGGATAAAAGAATTCAATTGATGAGAAATATAAGAAAAAAACACAGGGTAAAAAAGGACAGAGGAAAAAAAATAAAAACTAAAAAAAGACACAGGCAGAAAAAAAACTAGTAGTGGGTCATTGGATTTTGAATCTTCCTCCCTACAGTCAATTGGAAACAATCAGAAAAGATGGCTTCCCATCCCCAAGCCTCTTCTGATGCCTTTTCTTTCCAATCATTTCTCCCGCCCTTTAGGCAGACGACTCCCTTTTTTTTTAATAAAAAAAATTAGATTAGTTGGATAAATTGGGGCGCCGACTCCCGCCCTTTAGGCGGACAACTCCCAATTTTTTTAATGAAAAAAAATAAAAAAATATTTGGCTAAATTGGTACAACGACTCCCGCCCTTTAGGCGGGCGACTCCCAATTTTTTTAATGAAAAAAAATAAAAAATATTTGGCTAAATTGGTACGACGACTCCCGCCCTTTAGGCGGGCGACTCCCATTTTTTTAATAAAAAAAATTAAAAAATCACCATTGAAATTAGGATGACGACTCCCCTTTTTTTGGGGGGAATTGGAAGAACGACTCCCATCCGACGACCCCCCGACCAAAATGGGAGTCGTCAACTAATTTTTAGGAGTCGTTTTTCCAAGCCCCTACAATTAATGGAAAAAATGAGTGGAAAAAAAAATTCATAATCAAAAGTCATTTTTATGGAAAATGAACTTTACCATTAAATTCTACGCATTTTATAACCTAGGAAACAATTTTGAAAAATCAAAAAAACTTAAAATTAATGGCAAAAAAAATTAATTAAAAAACCGCGTCTAAACGCGGAAACCGCGTGTGCTGCGCGCAGCAGAAACCGCGTCAAAACGCGGACAACCCGCATTTTTTTTATTAAGGCCCATGGAAAATAACAGTTTAGCAGGAATTTTGGAAGGGCCTTAGTTAAACGACTCCCAAGATTTGGAGTTCCGACTCCCAAATCTTGGGGACGTCCTGAGGACTTTCTGCGGATGGTCCTCAGGACTATTTTTTGGGAGTTGGTCCTCCAAACCCTTTGATTGGTTTGGGAGTCAACTCCCTAAACAATTAATAGTTATTATTAGTTTTTTTTTACAAATCCCCCAGGGGTTTTTGGGAGTTGATAATCCAAAACCCTATTGGGGTTTGGAGCTGGCACTGAAAAAAAATGAAAAAGAATGGCCGGGAGGATTCCTCCCGGCTGCACTCTTGATGGCCCAGAGGATTTCTCCCGTCCATTACACTCTCAGAGACCAAGAGAAACCCTCTTGTTTGTTGAGAGTTTACACTCTCAGTGGCCAAGAGAAACCCTCTTGGCTGTTGAGAGGTTGCACTCTCACCGGCTGAGAGGATTCCTCTTGGCCGCCAAGAGTATACACTCTAGTTGACGGCAAATGGGCTAAAATAATGAGTTGATTTATGATATATTTGATACACCGCTGACTGAAGAAGTAAGTTTTTTGGTCACTGCAAAGATGGATTTTGTAAGTGTGGATTTCTCAAAACCAGTCAATTAAAAAGTGGTGGATTTTGTTATATTTTATACCCCGATACCTGTTTTGCGGGTCATTAATACCATTTACAAGAGTATGCTTGGGCCAAAATCCCCAAAAAAGCAGGGTTCCAGTTTTTGCTGGTTTTGATCAGTTTCACACACCTAAAATATGCAATTTTAAGCATACCTTTTTGGACCAAAGCAGTAATTCATACCTTTTTTGACCTTGTTCAAGAGTATGTTTTTGGTATTTTTGCCAATTTGGTATACTCTTTTCAACAGACTTGCCGGTGTCCTCAGTGGACCCAACAAATATAAAATTGGTCCATAAGGCCAATGTTATATTGGTTGCCTCCAGGAGTCCAGTTGACCTTGCCACAGGGGTTGTAACTGATACAACCCTTTTTCACCGCACTTATATCTTTTATTGTTTACTACTACTAACTTGTAGATACTGTGATGCAATGAAGTCTTAAAGATACCAATGTTCTACATTTTTGACATTTCACCAGAATTCAAGACCTACAGATACAAGTAAAGGCAATAATCCTGATGTGAACCTGGCTTTTGAGTTTGCAGTCCAATCTTTTGGTGGATTTTTTGATCCCATCAATGGAATCAGCTGAACGGATTGTTTGCTGTTTGTATGTTGTACCACTGCTTGATTCTTATCACCAGTCTCCTCAAAATCAAAGCACACACTGGGACAGCCAAGGTGATGTTGAAGCTCAACTATGTTTGAGCTGAGGGATGAAGCCGAGATTTCTGAAGAACTGGATACATAAAACCTGAGGGCACTTTTTCTGACACTCCACATTGGGGGTCTTGATGGTTTCTGCAGGCGGTGATACCCAGATTGCAGCACACCTTGCAGATGATCTATGGGTGGCTGGGATCCCCTGTTCATGTATTTGATGTTTGACTATGTGCGTAGCAGAATGAGAAGATGCGTATGAATCGGCAATCCAGATCCGTTGGGTTTCCGTTGGGGAAAGGAGAGAAGAAGCTTGAATACATAAATATACGCAAGTGGGACTTGAGTTTTAAAGGTGCTTGTTGATCCGTCAGTTGGGGTTTTTTCTTCACCACGTGAACAAACGGTGCTCAATTTATTTTTCTCCTTTTTTCGCTGCTGCATACACTTCATCCCAACAAGATCTTTCAGAGAGATATTCAAAGCTTGACGATTTGCCTCGCCAATTCCACAAACATAGATTGTAACACACATTTTGTACGTATCTGACTTATAAATTTCAGGTTAAGCTACATACACTTGCAAGTTGCCAGCTCTAGATTCGCAGCTTATCTGTCGCACTGGAACAAATTGCAACTCCTCTGAAGTGCCTGATTCTCCTTTTCCTCGAGAGACTTTCTTGAACCTGTCAATCCTCCCCAATTCGTCTCAATAAAACTGTACCTCAAGCAATATGCTCCACTTAATCCGAACTCTGTTTTCTTTGAATTTGGTTTTGGCATTCACTGTGGCAGCATACCCTAGCCAAAGTGCTCTGCTCCAAAGTGGGTCGATCTACATTCTGGATTTGACAGCCAACGACCCGATCAAAATCGAGCCCTCAAAAGTCACGAATGCTAATCAACCTCCCTCTCTTTCTTTGCGCAAAATTTGTGATCTCCCCTTGTAGACGTGCCTCATGGTTTGGGAAAAAGATTTCAGACGGTCCACGCCGAAGCATCTGCCCCACGGCCATGGGTCAAGACGGCCCGAGACTTTATTCAAGAAGCTCCTCAAGATATGACGGCAGAGCGCGCCGAGAAACGATCGAGCCAACCAATACCACGAAGCTTTTCGAGAATTCGCAGACGTCCAGAGGCAGGGATCGCTACCTCTCGTCAGACAACTGGAATATCCAACCCGCGCCCATGGGTTCAAAAAGATGAAGCTATCTGATCAATGAAGTGAATATGAAACGTTATAATGGGTGAGCACTAACTCGGCCAAGTCATCATGAATGTGTTCACTTCTTGCTCTTTTGTTTTTGCTGAGACCTCTGGAAAATTCACCATTTCTAGCACGCCAGCTCGCAAATAGTTCAATGAATATAGGAATTGCGGCGCGAATCGCTTCAGGGCCGCTCGGTATTTTGAAATTTGGTTCGATTTAGTTTATGGCTTTAAAATCTGTCAAACATAACAATTCAAAAACAAATTCCATGTACTGCCAACTCGGCGAGACTTCTAGTAATCGTGAATGGTTATGCAGGCCCAAGTGAGGCCCAGAACACCCGAAACATCGTATGATTGCAGCAGGTTATCACAAGTCCTGGGGAAGCAGACGAAGCCGCATCGTGGGCCAATGAGAGTCAGAGCGTATTACTTGATGTATGATGTGGAAGATGGTGAGAAATGGGGAAGAGTTAAACGTGTCTATTGCTTTGAGTGGGCTCCATTGCCGTTCAGCGTTTGCTGAAGTTGAACGCGTCTGAGCTGTTTTAGGGACCGTGGGCCGGTCCGAGTTGGTCCGAATTATGTGTGCTCTGAAGAAGAGTCGGATTATATCCGATTGATTTCACTCGGAAAGAATTGCTCATCGCCCTGGCCAACCTGACCAAGTGCCACCCTTCCATATCAACTTCTTGTCAATATTTGAAACCACCTTTTGGTTTTCTCTCATTGTAAATTCTTCTGATTGACACATTTGATCTCTTTCAACATTGCTCATCACTGGCCAGTACCATCAGGATATCAACAATTTCTCTTATTCTGATCGGTTCTTTCTTTCTCTTTTTCCTATTTTTGTCTAGATTGTGTTGTCTCTTGTGTTCACAACATCCTGTTATTTGACTTGAAGCTAGAATTTGATATATCCTTGTGTATGTATTTTCCCCTCTCTTATTGAAATGTACTGCTTTAGTTTTTTGTTTAACAGACACCATGGAATTTTGAGACTGAAAAGCTCAAGTAATATTGCTTATGTTGTCAGACTTATCAGTAGATGCAATAATGTTCAAAAGAAAAAAAAATGAAAGACAGTGGTACTAAGGGAAGGTACAAAAATTACCTCAGTTCAAGTTAAGTGCTGTTATGTGGTCTGATAGTGATAGGTTGTTCACATAATTCTTTAAATGTTGAATTGGGTTTTCTTTAGTTTTTTCTCATTTTTCCCCTATTTTTTCCTCTTGTTTTCTCTCTTGTTTGCTTTGTTGAGGTGGACCAGGTTTGGGAAAATGAAAGTCACAGACGTGAGTCTTGTGACAGTTGACTAATCACTAAGAAAATGTTGGTTATGATTCAGTGAGTAAAACGATGTGAATCAGAACCAGAATTACATGTTTGGTTTTGATAGAAGCATACTATTACTGTGCTATAGGCATCTTAACATGCTTCCTCTTCTTTTCATTGTCTGAAGTACATTTGTGTGTTATTTTTTGCCAAGATGTTTGTTTCTGTGCCTCCAGAGAAAGGTGTTCATTCCGGCCAAAGCGGAGGAAAGGCCACTTTTTCAAGGCTGGCTACACTGCCAGGAAGAAAAGATTGAACATGAGATCCAAAGCAGCACTCTAGATCCCCCCTTCCGAGTGAGAAGTGGATGGCACACTTCTACTTGAGCATAGTTCACACTGAGTGCCCACTGGGAAACTTTGGATGCCTCAGCCTACTGACGAGCCAATCCTGTAATTTTTGACGAGCAACAATGTGTAACACAAAATATGCCACTGAGTAACGATGCCCCAAGGTTATCAGGCCCGGAGGGGTATGAGTTTTGGGTCGCAATTTTTCGTGGTCTGAGCTGATCAAGGAATGTTCTCTACGTGATGTGTCCATGGGTAATGATTGATAGGTACTCGCCATCCTCGTTAACAAATCCTAACATTGACTGTCCCTCTTTCTTTCTCACAACAAGTTCCACAAGGGCCACTCCAAGGCTCAAGCTAATACCGCCCCAGTCGGATAAATCCATCGTCGATTTCCTTTCGTCGTTCTTATGCAAATGCAGTATTTGAATATTTTGTCGAATATCTTCACAGAATACCATTCACCCCGTAGACTGAGCCAAACTCGTTGGTTTGCCTTTAGCTATGTGTTCACTTCGGCCTGGATATCGACACCGTCGGTCCTTGTGTGGGCCACTTAGTTCCCTTTGGTGTATTCATCACCTGTGTACAGTGTAGGCATGGACAAGTGAATACAACATAGCTTGTACTGGATGTCGAAGCAACAATAACAAAAGGAGGTTTTTATGACTATGCAATGTTATTTTTCCTTAGTGCTGATGTTGACATAACCCTACTCCCATTAATGCCTCAAGCGGCTAAGGAACAGGTTACTCTCCGCCTGCAGTTGTTGGTCTCAGTCCCAGTGTCTACGAGGATTTGACTCAGCCAACAAGTTAACCATTTATAAGCCGCACTCATCTTTGGAACCACCCATCAGCATCTGACTAGAACCATCGAGTCTTCCCCATCTCCACCACTGCTCCCCTACAACCAACAGGCTTACAGGCAAACAAAGAAGTCATATTCTCTTGGAGGTTCTGAAACCCCGGCTAACCATCTAGACAATCACTCTTACAAACTACACCCTTTGCACTTGCTACTCCAAGCTAAATACTCCAGACAAGCTACCGATCGAAATGTACCATCCAACGATCCCTTTAGTCGCTTTAATCTTCCTATCTCAGACTTATTCTCGGTTCATAGAGCCTGGTTTGGTTCCGATAAACCCTATCCATCTTCAGCGTCGCGGGATCGATCAGGCTATTCTCCTGAAAAATGGTCAAGAGGCTCAAAAGCTCAACGCAAAGTTCTCTGGTATGAGCCCTAACTCGCCATGTAAGATAGGCGATTCGGCATGTATCTCTGGAGGATTCTCGCAATGCGTAGGAGGTAAATATGTGGGCGAACCTTGCGCCGGAGGTTTGAAATGTTTCGCGATGCGTGAGTTGATTTCAAAGAGCTTTAATCTGTGTGGATTCGGTAGCAGTGATCCTTACCCAGTTTGCTCACTTGCACATAATGGATTATACAGCTCTTTTATTGAAGAAAGGAACTTCCTTAGGATGTGGTTAGTACAACTACCAACTCGTCTTCCTGCATAAGATGTCTCTATTGTCTTGTAGCTTAACTATTGACGCTTGCGATCATTAGATACCGAGCAGGATGCCATTAGTAGGATAAAGAATACTGGTGCCACTGGTGGGTTGACTGGGCCCGGCGGGGATGCAGGCAAGCTATCAGCACCTAACTCCACCCAGACAAGCGCAAACGGAGATATGAACGGTATGCAATCTGATTCGAATGAGCAAGATGTCGATTGCACTGGATCGATGGCGGATGCAGCTGCGGGTACGGACAAAAGTTCGACTTCAATGGATTCCTCAGTAGGATCCTCCAATCCATCTAGCGCGTCAGACTCAGGAACCAATGATGCAAAGAAGTCGACCCACCCAATGGATTCTTCCTCAGGAGCTCCCGATTCATCTGACGCCTCGGCTTCCGGTACCAACATGAATGACGCGAAAAAATCGACCGCATCGAGCGACCCCAAGTCGGATTCTGGCAAAGCCTCGGAGGCAACTATGAATTCATCCTCCTCCTCGGATGTTAAGGAACCTAGCCGCAAGGAATCGGGCTCAAAATCCGCTGACGACAAGAAAAATGAAGGTCAGTTCAGATTTATACAAAACAAAGAAAGTACCAGTTGACTGATTCATCGTTTTGTATTTGGGAAACTTTTTTGGCTTTTTCTTTTTTCGTAGCACCGGTTAAAGGAGCTGACAATGAGAGCGTCAGTTTTGTGAAGGACGGGTCCGAAAAAAAAGACTGTGCCGGTGAATCTTAGCTCCAACGCAGAGCTAGGAGTAGGACCTGTGGCGGTTTCTCTGATCTCCGTTCCTACTTTTGAGTTTTTCTTTTTTTACGAGTTTTGCTATGAGTTTTTTATTTTTATTTCTATCAGTTGATTTTGAGGGAAAAAGAGGCAGTTAGGCCGACTTCCAATTCAATTTTTTAAAGTGCAGAATGCAACATACTAAAATTACTTATTACTCAAAATAGTGTTTTAGCTTATGAACGCTTATGTGTCGAAGGTTTCTACCAAAATTGTTCTGGATAGGTTGAGGCCGGAAATCATTGATTGATTTTTTCGATAGCTTTTGAAAACAGATTTTTTTTACATTACTTGATTGAGACTTTCAGTTGTTAGTAAGGCTTGCCAATCAGTAAATTTGCGCGATGCAAACAAATGAGTGCAGCAAATTATTATGGGAAGTCCAACACTCCAATGCACACAAAAAACATGCCAGAGGGAGGGGAGGGGAGGGGCCAGCGGGCATTTCCCTTGCACAACTTACAACCCAGTTTGACACAGATAAAAACCTTGATCAAATTCATAGGTAAATGGGTCCAACCAAAACTGAAATTCAAGTAGTGCTAGCTGGAAAGATTTAATGAGAAAATCTGGTTGGGTTACATTTCCTGCTCAACCCAATAAGACGGTTCACGTCTGAACTTTGAGGCAAATTTAATGACATTTATCATTGAAATTTTACAAATTTATCAGAAACCTCAAATTCCTCTGAACTTGATGTTTCATGAAATTTTACAAAATTCATAAAATTTTATCTTCAAGTGCGTTAAAAGTGGCCTTAAACTCCAGACGTGAACTGGCCTAATGAAATCTTCTCAGTCAAATAGTTCATATGGGCTGATTGACTCAGATGAAATGCTCTTAGAGATCGTTCATCGGTACCCGTGTACCCGTTGCTAGGTACCTAGTACCGCTCGGCGGGTACCGCCCGCACCCGCCTCGCACCCGCCAGGCGGTGCCGGGTGCCGGTTTTTTGGCAAAAACAAGGCGGTACCCGGGTACCGCTGCGGGTACCGCCTTATATCCCTAACATAGGGGCATGGTCATGGAGGGGTGAAACCCTCCATGACAAAGGTTCTCTGTCATGGAGGAGTGAAACCTCCATGACTGAGGATATATCCTCGGTCATGGAGGAGTGAAACCTCTATGACTGAGTATGTATCCTCGGTCATGGAGGATTTAACTCCTCCGTGACCGAGCGGCGAGGATACACCCTTGGTCATGGAGGATTTGACTCCTCCATGACCGAGCATACACCCTCGGTCATGGAGGAGTGAAACCTCCATGACTGAGTATGTATCCTTGGTCATGGAGGAGTGAAATCCTCCATGACCAAGGATACACCCTCGGTCATGGAGGATTTGACTCCTCCATGACCGAGGATACACCCTCGGTCATGGAGGAGTGAAACCTCCATGACTGGTTTCACTCCTCCATGACTACGTATGTATCCTCGGTCATGGAGGATTTAACTCCTCCATGACCAAGGATAAACCCTCGGTCATGGAGGAGTGAAAACCTCCATGACCAAGGATACACCCTCGGTCATAGAGGATTTGACTCCTCCATGACCGAGGATACACCCCGGTCATGGAGGCTTTGACTCCTCCATGACCAAGCACCTCGGTCATGGAGGATTTGACTCCTCCATGACCGAGGATACACACTCGGTCATGGTTTTTTTCAGCTTCTTGCTGATGTTTCTCTTATTCTATTGTTCTGTTTTTTAACTTTCCTTTTGGACTTTTATGAGCAACTTGCTGATGTTTTTTTTTTTTGCTTTTTTTAAATAATTTTTTGGAACTTTTATAGGTAACTCTTGCTGCATTTTTTTCAGCACTTTGCTGATGTTTCTTTTCTGTTTTATTTTTTTTTCTTCTAGATTTTTTTCTTCCAATTAGTTATTAGTTGTAGATAGATAAATATGAAAAAAAAGAAAAAAAAGTGACTTGTCTGGCAGTGTCAAGTGAAATCAATAATTTTCAACAAAATGAAAAAGTGACTTGAAACTCTGGGAGTGACCACCAAAAATAATAAATAAATATGAAAAAATGAAAACAAGTGACTAAAAAATGAAAAAAAAAGAATTGGGACTCTGGGAGAGAAAATAATAAATGTGAAAAAGATACAAAAAGTGAATTGGGACTGTGGGAGTGAATCTAGGTGAGAAAAAGAGGGGGGGGGGGTACCCGCGGTACCCGCCAAAAGTACCGCCGGTACCCGCCAGGAGGTGCCTGGTGCGGTACTTGGTACCTATTTTCTGAAAAAATTCAACAGGTACCTAGGTACAAACAGGTACCCGAGTACGAACGAACGATCTCTAAATGCTCTAGGTCAACCAGATCATGAAAACTGAACTTGACTCAGAGAAAGTTGACTAAGTTGTCCATCCCAATCAGCATGGATCCATTTTCCATCAAGACTTCCCCAGGTGTGGGTGCGTAGCTGAGACGAGCCTTGTGCTCAGGGTCCGCGCCCATGCGGGAAAAAAGGGAGGATGAAAAGGGGGGTTGTCCCCTTTTGGCCTAGAAAAAGGCTTGGTGGAAATGTGGGTAAGCAGTAGAATGGCAGAGAGAGGTGGACTCGGTCTCAAAGCCCGTCTCAAAGCCCCCTCTCAAAGTCTGACCTTCATGAAGGGTGGGTGGGAGGAAAAAGAAAAGGTGAAGAGCCTCGATGGGATGGAGGAGAGGCAAGTATGGCTTGCGCGTAGAGCTGGGAGTACTGACGAGCAGGAGAGTGCGGACAGGACGAGCGGTGTAAGACTCAAAAAGTGATTGTAAGATCCTTTTTGCTGAATGGAGAAAGGGATGAAATGAGCTGCAAACTCTGCCTTTCTATATTATCAGAAAACAAGACCACCAAGGTAAGCTTGGCAGTTTGGTTGGTGATAATGGATTATGTTCAAAGATGGTTGTATAATTGTTGAAGGTTGATCTTGTTGTCCAAAGAGATTGTTCATATAACCCCGTCCTTATCCGCTCCCTGACTAATTCTACATAATCGTCTTTAATCGCAGCCGGAATTGGTATTGGTTTCTTCTGCCATGGTTTATGGTCCACTACTGGTATAACGTATGGTAATCCGTAAGAGTGTTTTAGAAGTCCTCTTTCTCCAGTACAGAAGGCTATGGCCTTTTCTCTGATGACAATTAAATTATTGAAGAGCTTCAACTCCTCGCTTGACAACCATCCTTCTGGTCCAAAGTTCACCATCTTAAGCCGTTCCTCCGTCACCTTCTCAGTTGGTACAAATTCAGGTGGGTTAGGTGTAAGTGGTGTTTTGTATGGATCCCTCGAAAGAGCCGGTCTTTGAAGTGGTGGATTGAGAGCCTGAGGAATTGCTTCGTTAATCGGCCGGATCTTCTTAGCCACTGATTTATACTTCGTCATACACCAAAGTCCTCCGTCTCTCCAAGTTTGGCACAAGCGTTCCTGAAAAGAAATCCCAAGGCACTTTAACAGCAACGTTTCCATCTTCTTATTGTCGCTTGATTGAATGAATTTCGGTTCTGCCAAAGCTGATGTAAGCTTTGAACAAACAACAGCCTTCTTCTCTGAAACAAATTTGTCAGTTAACTTTGGGGAAACCTCCCCCAACTTCTCAATTTTACCCTTACAGGTCTTCAACATAAGGGAGGTAACCCCATAAAAACACTGGATGAAAAGAAAAATTTCCACAAAAAAATTCAAAATTTTACCCGCAGGAGTTTCGTGAGCATCATTCCGGATACTGTTGGTACTAAGATCCTTCATGTTGTTCCATCCTCTCCCTTTTCCAGTTCTTGCAAGTGGAACTGAAACCTTTCTTCCTTTGGTTCCTTGGAAGCTTAAAGTTTCGCCCGTTTCTTGATATTCTAATGTGCATTCGTAGTCAAACAGAAATGGTTGTCCAAGGATACAATCTTGCGCCTTCAGAGAAACAAAAAGGTGAGCCGGTCCCGAGAACCTTCCGATTGTTACTGGACAGTTTTTGGCTACCCCGTTCAAATCACATCTTGCTCCTCCTACTCCTTTCATAGGTATATCGACTTTGACGACCTCCAGTTCTAAGTCCTGGGCTACTATGCTTGGAATAACATTGACCATAGACCCAGAATCAACCATGAAATCTACTTTTGATCCGCCGATTTCTGCTGTTACGTATCCTAGAGCACAACTGTAATAACAGGGATCTCTTTCTTCATCTTCATTGTTGAGCTCCATTGCCGACATCTTGACTGCTTCAGTTGCTATGTAAGTTGCAGAACTTTTCTCTGGGAGTCTGTTCTGTAATTTCGAAATGATTTGGGATGTGTATGCTGGAGATATAGCCGTAAGCTGAGCAAAAGTGGTCGGAATTTTGACATTGTCTAGTTCCTGAAGCAAAATTTCCTCTGGGCTTGCATCCTTGGATTTCATAGCTGAGATTCTATCTTTACTCCAAACCTTCTTGACTGGCTTCTTCGGAGGATTAGGCGAAATCTCGGCCACTTCTTCCTCTTGATCCACATCCATCTGTTCATCGTTTGTTGGCTCCTGGATTCGGACACTTCGTCTTCCCTTCTGCGCATCAGACCTCGTTATTGCGTGAGTTCCTAGAAAATTCTCAGCCCCTAATGTTGGTGGATCCCAATCTATAGTTTGAGCTGATGACTTCATGATTCCAGAATTTTGCTTCGGTTCTGTCTTGATCGCATTATTTGTGTGTTCTTGCATCTTTGGATCTGCCGAGGCTGTTGCAACTACGGTTCGGATTGGTCTTGAAGGGTTCCATGGAATATGTTGCCCATCTGGCAGGTACCAGTCTTTCCCGTTTCTCTTCACTAGCCCTTGCTCTTCATCCTTAAACAATTCAGAACATCTGTAAGTCGTATGACCTTTTCTGTGGCAGTAAAAACACATCATAGGCTTGTAAATTGGTGTCGAAGGTTTGGCGTTCCCTCGTGAGAATTCTGATTTCGGATTGCTTTGTTGGTTGTAAACAGGTAATACACTCTTCAATTGTTGTTTGAGTGAAGCCATTTCTTGCATTATGTCTTCTACTTGTTTCTTGACCACCTTTCCAGTTGGCGCTCCGGATATCATTTGTTCTTGTCGCTGACCATCGCCTTTCTTCTGATCCAGTTCCCGTTGCATTTGCTTATTCGCCTTGGAGAAGCCTGAAACCGCAAAGTATCCTTCCTCTTCAACCCTAATTTCTGTATCCACTGCTGCTGTAACATGTTTCCACAGTGGAGGTTTACTACTGCCCTCTGGTCCTTTTGGGAGTTGTCCGTTACTGACTAAAGTCCTCTTGATGTTCTTCTGACTTTCCTTAGAAAATGCACTTATGAAAAGAAGTGATGCGTCCTGCTTCTTGTTCAAATGTTCATTATCCACGAGATATTTCAAGATAGTGGTGAATTTTCCCAAGTAAGCCTTGTACTCTTTGTAGTCCTTCAGTCCTCCCTTTCTGGAGTATTCTTCCGCAATTTTGACCAAATCCGTGGTAGTATATAGAATAGTGTTGTCCAATTCCCCCCAACTCTCCTTCATCGCCTTCCTTAACTCCGTCCAGTTGAAGCTGTCATAACCTTCCATCGCCTCGAGTTCCAACTTCAATTCCTCCTTATGTACAAATTGTCCAATCTGTAACGCCTTTTCGTAGTCCGATGCCTGAAACGCCAAAGCCGCTCGTTCGTATCTCGCTAGAAATCGTGTGAAATTGGTCCCGTCGTAAACAAGTCCCGGTTCCTTGATGATCCTTGGTCCATATCTTCTCTCTGTCGGTTCACCATCTGATCCTCTCGCATTATGTAATCCATATCCATTCACCGGAGGTTCCGTTTGCGTGGCTTGTCTCTGTGGTGTAGGATCTTCTGAGTCTGACATCTCTTCTTCAGCCTGTGGTTCTCTGTATTGATTGGCTGGCATCTTTCCCTTATACTTCTTCATTGGTGGTGGCGGTGCCGTAAATCCTGTATTCCAGTTTGAATTCGATCCAGACGCAAATGGTCTATTTCCCAAAGGTGTTGTTGGAGCAAATCCATCTTCCAAATCTGGCACAGTATATGGTAAACTCATGTTGTTCCTGTTGACTTCCTAGTTGTTGTGATGTAATGCTATGTTTGGATACTAATCCTACTAAACTCTGATTTTCAATTCAAAAATGGTCTCTGGTCTCTTTACCAGGGCAAGTTGGGGGTTTTCTCAGTAACAATACTAGTAGCTGGGAGTGTTCTTCTAGCAGGATACGATTATCCAGATTCTTCGGTGGTCTTCCTTCTTCTGGGATATAATCGTCTGCTTCCTTTGAGTGGGCTCCAACGTTTGCTTCAAACAGGATCCAGTTATCCAAATCCTTCGGTGGTCTTCCTTCTTCTGGGATATAACTGGCTGCTTCCTTCGAGATACGTCTTTCAGAACTGGTGTCACAAATCTTCTTCTTCTTTCAGAGGTTTAGTAGTTTTCGCTCGTTAATAGGTTCTATCACTTGACTATTCGATCTTCAGGTTAACTTGATGTTTCTTCTTTACTTGATGACAGTTGTGGTTGACAAATTTGTTCTTCTCAAAATCCTTCAAGAGTGTCGACTATCCGTGTTGATTCTTCTTCTTGCTGTTCGTCTAGAATTTGATCCTTCTTCAATTATAACGTAATCCTTATCACGTTGGGGACTCCCTTGTAAGACTCAAAAAGTGATTGTAAGATCCTTTTTGCTGAATGGAGAAAGGGATGAAATGAGCTGCAAACTCTGCCTTTCTATATTATCAGAAAAGAAGACCACCAAGGTAAGCTTGGCAGTTTGGTTGGTGATAATGGATTATGTTCAAAGATGGTTGTATAATTGTTGAAGGTTGATCTTGTTGTCCAAAGAATTGATTGAGTTGGTGATGTTGTTTCTTGTCTTGATGTCTTGATACTTGTATTCTTCCTTAATGCTGTATATGTAATAGAGGTGGTTCTTGAACCCAAAGGGTCTGGGAGCACTATGCTTCAACCAGGACTGGAACAAAGGACTGGCTCTTCTGTGTAATGTTTGTGAAATGAACTGTGTATATATTTCAATCTGTGAACTGTACTACTGGTGAACTTCTTGTGTAATAAATATGTGTAATCTGTGACAGGTGTCCCACCAAAAATGTGTACTGAGTGGGATGAGGAGGGAAACAACTGGCAGGCAGAGGCCTCCTTATATAGTAATTTATGAGGGATTTTAGCTAGACTATCTACAACGCTTTCCTTTTATATGTAAGCTGTAAGAAAGGAATTCATGTGTTCTGTGGCTGAATAAATGGGAATTTAACTGGTACAACTGGTGGCCAACTTGTGGTTCTGTAAGTATAAAAGGAATTCAATATGGATAAAAGGAATTCAATATGCAATATGCAATATACCCCCATGCAATATACCCTCCAGCTGAGTGCCTCTGATCCTGTGATTCCCCGTGTGACATCCTTGATTCTGCGTAACTTCTGATCCAGTAGAGATATGAAGGTGGTTCCAGTGAGTGACTAGGGGTTAAATTGGCCGTAGATTCCATTTCTGACGTTCACTTGTCCGTATCTTGAGTCCTTCATTGATAAATAATAAAATTTTGAATTTTCTCCCTTCATACACAGGAATAATGACCACAGCGGGTCCTTCCTTTAAGGGTGACGCGGTCAAGGGGGGGACCGCAGCGTAAGGTGCCTGGGCACAGCTCCAGTCAGTGCTTGACAGGGCGGTCAGTGGCAGCTCTGCGCCTTGGTGGCCATGGACGGCGGAGACTTGTCTGCGCCCCCGTCACCTCACATCCATTTTCCATCAAGACTTCCCCAGGTGTGGGCGCGTAGCTGAGATGAGCCTCGTGCTCAGGGTCCGCACCCATGCGGGAAAAAAGGGAGGATGAAAAGGGGGGTTTTCCCCTTTTGTTTCAACCCTTTTGGCCTAGAAAAAGGCTTGGTGGAAATGCGGGTAAGCAGTAGAATGGCAGAGAGAGGTGGACTCGGTCTCAAAGCCCGCAATCTTAGGTTCGCACAGTGGGAGCCTGAGCCGAGAGAGAGAACACCCGATCTCCCAACGGAAACAAAATAGATTTCCTAAACTACAAACCCATACGTTTCCAGTTTGATTTCAAGGTGGATAATAACATCAGTGTCTTCTTCTTGGTATCCGGATCATACGGCCTTATATACAACTTGTAACAATCAGATTTCCATCTGCCTAAAAAACACAAGTCTTGTGTAGTCATTCCTAGTGCCAGACAAAAGGAGGCCCCGCCTACGCGGAATGAGTGGCCATGCAAGCCGGCATAACCTCCTTCAGCAAGAACTTGTTCCACGCGTGTTACCGCCCTTCTCCTAGTGAGATGATGTCGTACTCCGTTCTCCATGTATCCAAATAGAGTAGTCGTGGTGCCTAAGCTCGAGGATAGCCTTTGTTTTAGTGCCAGGATGGGACACAGGACGTGGTCTTGTTCTCTAAGTGTGATCAATTGAGGTTTACCGGGCGCGCCCGTCTTTGCGTTTCTTATGGCGATTGAGGCAACACTGATGTTTTCGGTGTCAAACACCACATCTGACGTCAAGACGGAGGACGTGAAGCTAACCATGCCTAATTCGGAATTGTAAGACAGTTCTGAGAGCCTAGCTAGACCCCAAAAGGCCACGACCGCCATGTCTAGTACCGCTTTGTCGAAGTCGGATCCGTGGGAGAGTTCTTTCCACAGATGGTTCATGTGCCATAACATCATAGGTAGCTTTTTGGCTTGTTTGCCAACTAACTCGTCTTCTTTGGCTGATGCCTTTAGCATCAGATCAATCCTGGTCTTGTTGATGCCGGGGAATTTTTCCTTATGGAACACGTGCCATGCTCGTAAACCTGCGAGATACTTCTTGATGGAGCACACTGAAATCTTTGAAGAGTCCTGGGAGAAAAGGCTTCTCCCTGCCCACAAGCAAAAATTCTCGATGTCGTCTGGCGAGATCGGTAAGACAAAGGCGTGTCTTCCTGTTGCTACTGAGAATTTCAAATATTTAATGACCGCGCTGTTGTAGCTTTTGAGTGTTGACACTTGCAATCCTGACAGGATGTGTAAGTTGACATTGGAAGGGGATCGGACTAATGTCCCGTTTCGCAGAAATTTGTTTATCTTATTGAACGGGATCATATTCATTTTGTTGAGTGACATAGTGGAAGTTTGTATAACAAAGAAATATTGATAAAGGAGATGAATTATATCACGATGAGATCAAAACAAAAACAGCCGCCTATTTATGGAAAAGGATGAAAGAATTGTAACAATTACGCATGAAACATAAAATTGGACAGGTCGTCAGGGATGTTAAACCAGACCCTGTTCTCCGCTGCATGAGGTCTTTGGACCCCTTGTGATAATCCGTTGGAGATGTTTTTGGCCAATGCCACCCTCAAAGGGGTGATGTCTAGATCTTCAATTATGAGTAACTTTTGGATTTGTTTCCATTCGTTGTTCGAATGGAAATCTCTCGATTTCCTCGATCGTAGCGTGTTCTCTGTTGTAGTATTATCAGTCCAAACTATGAAGTTTCGGCCTTTTAAATCTTTACCTATGGATAATAACATTAGGATTCCTATTGTGATCGCTACTGTTTCCAGCCACGCGATCGTTCTCTTTGGACTTGCTTCCGCCCAATTCTCTTTTAGTCGCAGTTGAGACCACCGCCTCCCGATGAGGACTCCTATTCCGAAACCTGTCGACGCATCGCCTACCCAATTTATCTCGGTAGGGTCTATTAAGGGGCAAAGTCTGGTGCTAGAATAGTCGTTCAGGGTTGATAACCAGAAAGATAGGTCTTCTATGACGTCTTCTGGTGGCGCTCGCGTGGCCCACCTCTTCTTCCATTCATTCATCCACCTGTAGATGCTCCTAGAATAGCGTCTTAGTTGAGGAAGGAGTAGCGATACGTGATTAAGTCTACCTGCCAAAATTTTGACTTCGTTGAACTTGAATTCTCTCTTTGGTTGTAAAAATTCCTTGATTTGCTCTTTACGTTTTTCCAATTTGGTCTCTGTTAAACGAACTGTTTTAGAAACCCCGTTCCAAATGAATCCTATAAACTTCTGTTCTTCGGAAAATTCTGAGCACTTTTCAACGCTGGTTGCCACTCCCAATTTCACTGACCTCTCCGCTATGGTTTTCATGTTGCAAGAGGAACTTTTCCGTTTGATGAAAAGGTTATCGTCGACCCATCGAAATATTTTGACGACATCGAATTCTGACTGCATGATTTGTTTCCACGCATCTGCTGGCAAACCAAACGAGCCCCATCCAGCAACACCTCCAAAAGTAATTCTGGTGTCGACATATAGACTTCCGCGAAGGTCTTTTACCATCAGGTATTTCCACTGTGATTCCCTGGTAGGAATTTGTCGATAAGCTTTCGCCCAATCGAAGAGGGCAAGTTTGAACGGTTCGGAATGCGTTCTAAAGAAAGTCGATACGATTTTGAAATCGTCCCACATCGTAGTGAAGTCTAACTTATTTACATAGGAGTTGACTGACTTTATCTTGCTGTCATTCCTCGGGAAAGATAGATTATTGATTGGACACATCTTCCCGTCTGTATTTACAACAGAACCTAAAGGGCTAGTCCAAAAAAATTCGTAATGTTCGGTGACCTCTTCATGTGAAAATGGGCCAAACATTCTACCAGCTTCTACTTCTTCATTTATAGACTTTTGTATTTTGTCTTTTGCGTTGATCGCGGAGGAGTGATTATCGGGTGTGAACCACCTCTCATTACCAACTTTATGATCAGGGATCCCTTGATCAAAACCAATAGTGAATCCTTCAAGGATGTGGAGCATCTCTGGTAACAAACCAGCCCTATCTAGTGCATCTTTCCACTCATTAATATGCATTTCACATGATACTGTCACCGGCCAAGCAACTTTGGGAACACAAATTGAACTAGAAACAATGTTGCCAACAAAAACAAAAACCGATTATCTACTGTCTAATTTTTTTTTTTTTTTAAAAAAAACAAAGGAAAAACCACATATATCTGATGACAATCTAAAGGAATTTTGTTAAACCTACGGTTTGCTTCCCCTAGCCATGCTGGGTGGCGGTTTTTCATTGGCTTCCGATTTGTTCCCGGAGCTCCTGAACCTTTTCCTACTATCTCCCATGGGCTGATGGTACCCACCGCTGTTATTATTATCGTAGTGATTGACAAAGTTAGAAGGTTGTTGATGTGTCTGCGAATGAGCGTTGTTGTAGTTGGTGTTGTAGTGATAATTGTTGGGATAATTGTTATGAAAATTGCCTTGCATCATGTTGCCTCCGTAACAACTTCTGTGTGAGTCTCTCCTCCTCTCTTGATGATTACTGAATCCGTAACCGGCATTGTTATATTGATTGACATGATTTTGTTGACGGTTGTTGCCGTGATTGTTTTGGTTTGGAACCGAATTCGATCTAGATAGCTCCGGTTTTCTAGTACCCGTGTCTGGGTCGTATGCCGCATGAGACCCGCCTGGTGCGTAATGATTATCTTTCCAGCCGGTCTCTCCGTGAGATCTGACAATGCTATAGCATTGTTCTACGACTACGTCTTGTTTTACCGTAATGTCTGGGACTGCTGCGCCGTCCTTCAAAGGTAACCTGTGAGCGAATGCGTTCATTCTGATTTGCATATTGTATCTGAAAGCCGTCATGAAACCATAGACGTCTGCTATCTTGTCGCAATTCGCTTTGTGGATCAGAAGCTTGTTGGCAAAGATGGTCTTATTATACACATCTCTTAAAGTGATAAAGAAGGATCAATGGTTATTCGTCCAAGTCGAGTGGGTTTGGGTCCATTCATCGTGATACGCTAGGCCTCTATAAGCTTTGTCCTCTGAGGACTTTGATGGTTTCAATAACATGTGGGCCGTGAGGGCTTTCTTTTGCCATTCTGGATACAAATTAGTGGAAAAACTAGAATTAATGATCACGGAACGGATTCAAAAAACTGAGAGAATTTTGCTAACCTCTGTCGAAGATGGTTAATGGAATCGGTGCCTTCAATTTACAAATATTTTCGTCAAAGTAAGGGGTGAACCCAATATCTTGGTGACTCGTGACGGCGCCCACTGCATACACTATGTTGTCTTCTGCCTCAGTTACCGTCGCGGTTGTTGCTAAGGATTGGTGATCTGAGATGCACAAAACGGGTCTTGCTGATGCCAATCTTGTGTTCATTGAAGGCCTAGGGCCGGAAACGTCTGTCACCTCGGGTCTAGGGCCGGATGCGTCCATCGCTTCATACGCTATCATTAAAGCTTTCGCTAAGATCTCGTCTCCCTCTCCTTGTGCTAATTTAATCTTAGCCCAAATGTGGTCTCTCTCTTTATTTGGTGTGGGTTCATTTTTGGGGGGTATCGAAGTTTTGTCGGCGATAGTTTTCAATGTTTCTACGGACAATTCTGTACAGCATGTATGATCGTATCAGGTTGTGATACTGGTTGACAATAACAAGTTAATTACTCCAAGAAAACATACCGGGATTTTTACTAATGAGGTCTAAGGAATTGTCACCTCCGCTATCTTGTGAACCTTCCAACAAAGTAGGGTTTGACGTCGCTTCGGACTGTTCCGCCCCTGTTGGGGTTGATACCTCGATTCTAGGTTGTGAATCTAGTGTGGGATTCTTGCGACATCTGAGGAGCGTGCATATGTTATATCGATGTTTATAAATAATTAAATAAACTTTTGTTAGAACAAGAATGGGGCGATCAAGAACGAATAAGAACAAATTTGGTTTGATTTGGTGACGACTTACTGTCACGTTATGTAAAGTAACTTCAGGGTCTTGTTAACCTGGCTTCCTGTGATGGATAAAAAGTCGGTGCGAATCAGGGAGTTTGTCAACCTGGAATGAAATGGAACCTTGACGATCAGGTGCGAATCAGGGAGCTTGTCGACCTGGAATGAAAGGTTTGTCAACCTGGAATTGGAAAATCAGGGAGCTCGATGTCAACCTGGAATGTGACGATGTAAGACTCAAAAGTGGTTGTGATAACCCTTTTGCTGAATATTGAAGGGTATGGTGGAGTTGCAAGCTCTGCCCTTCTGTACTATCAGATAACAAGACTTACCAAGCTCAGCTTGGCAAGTTTTAATCAAGTGATAGGGGTGGTTGGTTCGAGAATAAGTTGTTTGATTGCAGTATAATTGTATGAGAGAAGAGGTTTTGAGAGTATGAGAGTGAGAGTGTGTATTACAAGTGTAAGGGTTGTTATAGGGTGTTTGTAAGGGTTGTTACAGTATGTAATGTTAATGGTATGGTATGTAATGGTAGGGGGTATGTGATTTGTGGGTACTAAACTGAGGGGAAAAACAACTGTGAGGAGAGCCTCCTTAAATAGACAACAATGAGGGATTCTGGCTCCAAGGGAGCAAGAGAATGAGAGATTCTAGCTGGTCAGAGCTATACAATGAGGTAATTTAGCTGGCCTAGCCATGCACCTGAGGTAATTTGGCTAGAGAAAGCTGTGTACATGAGGTGTTTTGGCTGATTGTACAGCCTACATGATGTAATTTGAAATGTTTGAGATAGAAGAGGCAGTGTACATGAGGGGTTTGTGCTAGCCTAGCAATCTGCATGATGTCATACAGACTGCATGAGCTATCTTGACAGCTGCAGGAAGATTATCACATGACCTGTCAAGCTGCGCACATGAGCTGTACACATGACCTGACAAACTGTGTAAGCTGTACACATGACAGAAGATTATGATGTCATCTGTTTACCTGTGTCCTGTAGTGAAGTGTTTGTGTAATTTGTGTTGTGTAGTTGTCCTGTGTAGTTGATTGAGTGTAGTTGAGTGTTGTACATGTCCAGAGGTGTGTAACATCCATACCAGTAGAGTTACAGAGATATCTCCAGTGGTGACCATGGGTGAAATGGGCCCTAGAGTCCATTTCTTAAGTCCAAATAAGTGTTGAAGTGAGAGGAAATATAAGAAAAAATGATGAAGAAAAGAATAAAAAAGAAATAATAAAAACTTTGAATTTTTACACATTCAGCTACCACAACGATCAGGGAGCCTGATCTGGGAAATATCGGAGTTCGCTGACCTGGTAATCCTGGGCTGTCGAGAAATCACAGGTGCTTGTTATCCTGGAAAAGAATAAATATAATCAGAAAAGGTGAAGAGCCTCGATGGGATGGAGGAGAGGCGAGTATGGCTTGCGCGTAGAGCTGGGAACCATGAAATCTTCTCAGTCAAATATTTCATATGGGCTGATTGACTCAGATGAAATGCTCTAGGTCAACCAGATCATGAAAACTGAACTTGACTCAGAGAAAGTTGACCAATCAGAGAAAGTTGACTAAGTTGTCCATCCCAATCAGCATGGAAGAACTCATCCCAGTTGATCAGGTGGGTAAAATTCAGTCTCTATTAAACTGGGGACATTCCACCTGGTTAATCATGTTGTATTAACTGATGAACAGGGATAACCCATCCAACAAGAAATAAAAATGAAGCGAAAAATAAAGCATACCCAAGATGATTTTGAATATGATAGATATCAGACAACTGGATCAGTAAAGAGGGATCATGAAGATGGGAACTGAAGAAAAAAGCATTAGCAAAAATAAAAGTAAAAAAATAAACCAGCTTGAGAGTCGTTCTTGTCAAATTTTAATTTAGGGCTTGTGATTTCAATGAGAAGCTTGAGGTTGAGATTGAGTCAGTCAATATTTTGAGATGTTTCTTATAAGATGGTATGAACAGATAGAAAAGGAATACTAGATAGACAATTGTTGGGAAGAAGATAGGGAAGATGTTGTGACAGTGAGGTGACAATTGGACATCTTATGTGGGACATCAGACTAGGTTAGGGTTCATGACAGGATGATTGTTGTGGAAGCTTCTTCTTATCATCAGATTAGGTTATACTGTTGTATCTCAATCTAGCTTGTTTTCCTCCTCTTACTCTCCTTTTCTCTTTTTACTCATCTAGTCACTCTCTGTCCAACCTATATAGGGGAATCTTGCTTCCTTTTATCTCAGCTTGCTCTCCTCAGATCCCAAAAATCTTAGTGTGTTCACTGTGGACCACTGGTGTTTCATAGATGTTGAGTAGAGGAAAGAAGCAAGATGGTGTTGCGGGGGAGACAGGTAGTGGACTGCACTGTGAAAAAATCTCATGCAACTGGTTGCAGTTGACATGGAGGGTACTTCCACCATAACTTGGTTATTACAGAGAATTATTCCAAAATATTTTTTTTCTGTACATTCAACGGTGGGCCAGTTACACTAACCGTAGTTTTAGTGTAGTGTAGTGTAGCAGAATTCCGCTAAACTTTAGCATAGCGTAGGGGAATTCCGCCACATCTGCACTGACACTACGCACATAGGCCCCAAAAAAGGACCCACTACACTACACTAACTGTTGAATTTTTTGGCAAAAAGGCCTAAAGAAATTACTTTTATGACTATTGCTGGAATGGCTAAAGTGCTCCCGGACAATACTGAAGGAGGGCTCAAGTGCTCCTTCAGGAACGATCTAAAAAGTGTAAAGGACCAATGGCTGTTATATTTCTTAATATCTAAGGTCTTAAGTATCCTAAATAAAAGAGTGCACAAAATGTGGGAGCAGGTTTTATGCATATTGAATAAGAAACAAGGAAGAATACCGGTCAAGTGGGTGACATAAAAAAGAGATAGATTGATGAGCCAAGATTAATAAAGATGAAAGATATTTGTTGTGGGTTTATGGGGAATTAAGATGAAAAGATAGGGGAAGGAAAGATGGAGAAGGTAATTATTGTGGGTTTACAGGTACTAGAGTGAGTGATAAGAAACTGTGTTAGAGGTTTATAAGACTGAAGAATAAGGAGGAATTCAGCCACTGTTGGGACACCACTTGTGGAACTGCTGAATAATCAGAAACAGAGCTTGGAGGGGAAATAGACAACTACACTACAAATAATGTAAGTTGAGACTATGGGTGCTGTTGAGGCTGCCCTCCTGTACAATGCTGGAGTTGGGAAGAGTTACACTAAGAAAAAGAAGAAAGGTGTGGCTTGGATTCTAGTAATTCTTAGTGAGTTCTAGGACAGGGAGGTGTTATCAAGGTCTAGTGATAATACCACTGAGTGAATGAGGAGTGATGAGGAAGGAGGATTGTGGAGTGAGGATTAAGGTTCAGAGGGTATGAGCAAAATATGCAGAGGTGGTCAAAGGATAATGTGCAAAATATGCAAGGTTTCTGAGGAATGAGTGCAAAGTATGCAAGGGGTCACTAAGGGGCAAAATATGCAAAAGAGGGGGAAAGAAAATATGACTAAATTATTTCTGGCAAAGTATGCATTGATTGTTGTATGTTTTCTATCTATATTCTCCCCTATTATCTATATATCTATATCGGGGGGGGGTACAAGTGTAAGAGGGACTACTTATATACTCTAGGATACAAATGAGCACAGACTGTGGCAATTCTGGTTATGAGAAAGAAATGTACATATGTATAAATAAGAGATGAGAAATGTAAACAGAAAGCAAGGATGAGTAAAGGGGAACAAACCCAAAAAGGAGAAGGGCTGTGAAAGAGTGTACTACTGTTATCCTGAAGGGTACATGTGAAATAATGAGTGTAAAGAAAGTATCTGAAAAAATATCTGATATATGTAATGAGAAACAACTACTTTAAAGAATGTGACTGATGCAATGGGAACACAATATATTGTAAATGAGAGTACTTGAGAAAGATATGATGTATGAAGCAATCTGTAAATATGTACCATATGTAGCTACTGTGTAATGTAAATGTACAGAAAAATATCTGTAGAACTAAGAATGAAAATAACTATTGATCCAGTAAGAAATGAAATATGGCTTGAGTGAGTGACTATATATAAAATTGGGTGTAGAATCTGAATATGTCATAATAATGAAGGAAAACCAAGTGAATATACAGTGAAATAATAGGGGCTTTGGAAAGGTATGGGTTACCACATCCTCCCCCAACTTATTGTCTGTCCCCAGACAATGCAGCCAGTATGAAGATAGAGGACTTAAGAAAAAGATATAAAGAGAAAAATATAAAAGAGAAAAATAACCAATGAGGGGGGAAAGGGAATCCAGAAAGAGGTCCATCCAAAGGAGCCATATCCAGAGTCCAGGGTTGATCCACTTCAAGGAGGGAGTATCTGTTCCATCCAAGAAGGCCAAGTCCTGTATCTAAAAATAAAACCATGGAGGTAATCTGTATCCAAAAAAAGAAGAGCCAAATCCAAAGTACTGTAATTGATCCAATCCAAGAGGCCAAAATATAATCCAGACATTGATCCACTCCAAGAAGGCCAAATCCATAGTATCCAAAAGTGAACCACCCTAAGGAAGGAGTATCTGTTCCAATCCAAAGAGGCCAAATCCAAATAAAACAAAGGTGAACCACTTCCAAGAGGCCAAGTCCAGATTCCAGGGTTGAACCAATCCAAGAAAGCCAATGTCCAGGTATCTAAAGAAAATTCTTAAAAATGGGCCACCCAATGGAGGAATTCTGTTATCCTTTCAATGAGGCCAAGTCCAAGAGTCCTGAGGTTGAAGTTCCATCTAAGAAAGCCAAAGCCAGGTGACCAAAGAAAATCCAAGGGGAAAGACTGAGTCCAATAGTCCAAAATAGTCCTAAGGCCAGTAAGAGAAAAAAAGACTAATGATAATTGAACCACTTCAAGGGGGAGTATCTGTTCCATCCAAGAAGGGCAATATCAAGAGTAAGACCTAAGTTGATCATCTTCAAGCTGGAGTATCTGGTTCCAACAAGAAAGGCCAAAGTAGGTAAAAGACTTCTGAAGTTGATCCAATTCCCAGGAGGAGTATCTGTTCCCATCCAAGAAGACCAATTCCAAAAGTAAGACCTGAGTTGAAAGGCAGGTAAAGTGACTGCTGAAGTTGATCCATTTTCCAGGAGGAGTATCTGTTCCATCCAACAAGACCAATCCCAAGAGTAAGACCTGAGTTGAAAGGCAGGAAGGTTGACAAAAGAGAAAAATCTGAATTCCAAATTCCAAAAGAATCTGAGTTCCAATGTCCAAAGAGGAAAGTCTGAGATGCCAAAGGGGAAAAATCCAAAATCCAAGGTCCAGAAGGAGTCCAGGGAAGTAAGAAGGTTTCTAATAATATGTAAAAGTAATATATCCAATAAAATAAACTATGTAAAATATCTTATATTCAATCTAACTGAGAAATCTGAGTAAATCCGGGGGTTCAATCTAATTATCTCTAATTCTGAAACTACACAAGTATATACCAAAGTCTGAAGGAGTTGAAGATATGTAATAACACAATAATGGTGTAATAAAGGGGGTGATTTAAACTAACTACTCCTGAAAAAGGTTACTAGTGGTGATCAGAAAGGTAAAAGATAATTGATGGGTGGAATGCCCCAAGATAAGGAGGTGGTGGGAGGTAGAGAATTTATGGAAGAGCCCAATGAGCAAAATATGCAAGGTTGGTTGAGGGTGGAGTTTAAAGTGCAAAATATGCAATGATTTGAGGAAGGGATTAAGCAAAATATGCAAGGTTTGGTAGAGATTTAAGTGCAAAATATGCAAGGGTAG